ACAGTGATTTAAATGATGTTATGAGGCTGATGAGTAATAATGTATTTATAGACATACAGGTGTATTCACAGGTAGCAAGCAAATACAATGCATCATGACACGATTCATGAACCAAGTTAAATAAAGTGAAGAGTGAGAATGTATAATAAGAAGTCTCCTTGGGGTTATTAAGATGTGTTTTTAGGATTCTACAATCTATAAATAGAATACTTATAACATCCATAAACTCAGAGATATATCTAGAAATTTGCTTCAGGGAAAGCGTAAATTAAAAAAAAAATATGGACGCGTTGTTATATTTCGATGCTAATTAACTATACAACTTTGTATGATAAACTAAAATCTACATTTTAAAGTTAATTTCAAAAATATAGGTTATTCAAAAAATCCTAGAGAGTAAGGCCGGTTATTGAAATATGCTTACATCTTTGAATTATTCGTCTCGCTAAGGTGCCAAAATGTTAAGAATGTTTTAATCCACTTGATTAATTTTAATAGGTTGGCTGCCACGGCAGTCGAATACGTACGCTTGGTAATTTTTTTTTTCATTTGCCATGTCACAGCCGTTGTAAATGTTTTTGAACAATATTTTTTAAGCCAAACATGAAAAAAGTTCAGTTACAAATCTTGGCTCAAATCCACTTAAGTGTTTTCTGGATAAGGAACATTTTTTAAAAATGATTTTGTGAAAAGTTAATTATTATTTCATAGTCAACTAATATTTTATTAGGTTCTACAAATAATTTTTTTAATGGGTTTCAAAATTAAAATCCAAGTTTTAACAGATTTCCCTTTAAATCCTTATCGTATTCTAGAATAGTGCCCTATATTTTATAACAAAAAAGACGACCATTTCTATTTTATTTATTTATCCTATATTATTTTATGTTGGTGGAAAATTGTACGTCTAGCACCGCCACTGGTCATGCTTTATGTTAGTGATGTCGTACATGCCATAATCGGTGCAATGGCCTGTAATCTAAAATTTGGTCAAATTATGCATACTGTTATACTGGATACCATGCCCAAGTTCCTATCACAAGGGATAACCTGAATACTTTAAAATAGTATGAGAGCCCACTGCAAATCTTGACCGTCATTGATAACGAAATGAAATGTGCTCCAAAGGCATGTAACAACATTGTACTTTACCAAATTACACCTGTGCCAATCCCTATCCTGAGCAAAGTGGTTAAAAAAAAAAATTTATATTCAAAAAATCACATAAGACAAGACAGCGACAATTGTGTTTTCCCTGAAAATTACAATCCTAATTCATTGTGAACCTGAATTTCTAATATTTTTACCTATCTTTTAAACCATGTTTATGTATGAAAGGAAGAAGGATGGCATTGTATAAACCATTTGCAGAGATAGTCAATAATAATTATAAACTCTTATTTTTTTAAACCATAATCATAGTAGTTTTTTTGTCGTTTCTATGGCAACCTGTAAAAATGAAAACAAATAAATTTTTAAATCAGTAAACATTTATTCATATTTTTAATGATTTTTATCTACTAATCGTGGATAGATGTTTTTGTGCGATGTTAAGAGGAAGAAAATGTTTCTCTTTAACGATATATATCAAGATATATTTGAATATTATTTTCTGGAAAACTTTATGGGCAAACAAAATTAGCGCTGTCATGTCTTATGTGATTTTTTTAATATAAAATAATTTTTTAAAGCCACTTTACTCAGGATTGGGATTGGCACAGGTGCCATTTGGTAAAGTACAATGTTTTTCCATGCTTTTGGGGTATATTTCAGATGACGGTAAAAATTTGCAGTGGGCTCTTGGGCTAAAAGTATTGTGGTGCTGCGGCTTCCCAAATATGTGGACAACATTCAAGATTAGCTTTTTTTTGGTCTATAAATAGCGACATGTTATATTGCAAAAATACTTTCTTTTCCCAATAAAGAATCCCACTATTTTATTGATTATAACGAAAGCAAACAAAACTTTCCACTTAAGTTTTATCTTGATGAGCTTTTATCTTTTGTAGGAACTTCTAAGCGATGAACTCAACACAGATATTAGTAAATGCAAACCAAATAAATGTAAATCTAAATAAAAATCGAAGTCTAAAATTTCCATTAAATATTACTGACCACAACTTGGAATAAACAAATAATTCCGAATGATTCTAAGAGCTATATAATAAAAATATTTTCATTTTCAGTTTTAAATAAACTGATAAGTATTTACAAATTGTCTCGTTTTTTAAACTTTGCTGGGTATTTGAATGTTTTCTACATTTTCTCTTGTTGCTGTTGACTTATTTATTAATTAATTTGTTGTGGGAAATTAGGGATAATAATAAGCTAAAGAAGAAACGAAACAAAAACACAAAGAGAGGTTTGAAAAATGTAAGGATTTGTTACAATTGAAAATAAAATTATCCCTAATAAAGTGCTACAATAAATAATAAACATGTCTCTCTTTCAACTATACCTGAAACATAATTAATCTTAAGAGGTAAATCCTGAAATTCTTCTAAACAATCGCATAATTTGTTCATAAACCACACTACAGGCAACAACTTTGACATGTTTGAATGTGAAATGTAACAAACTAGACAGTAGTTCCAACATACCAATGTACAGGGCAGTGGTGGTTTGTGGTTAAAGACATTCGATGTTCAGCGAGATTTTGCCTCCCCCTCTCAGCTTTTATTCATCAAATATGTTTATACATTAATTCTATTCTGCGGTTATTTTTAGCAGCAAACTTATACTTATACGCGTTAGTAAAAAAATCTGTTTTTGTTTATTAACTTATAAACTACATCCATGTCTTTCATATACAATGCAAATATGCGCTGGCGAATTAAAACAAACTAATTATCTAGAAAACCGCAGCGCATGGATCTGGTAAAAATGCAGCCCAAACACTACGTGTCTCGGCGTTACTTTTTAGAGAGCCGCGGAGGTGAGACGATGAAATGAGCACAAGTGGCCCAAGCCGCGCACAGGCCGTCCCGAAGCGACCTTGTTAAGAGATGAATATGACCTGACGCTTATGTCCGCTTTGAACTTATTCTTAACTATGAACTGACAGTAGCATACATTCGCGCGCCATATTTAATAATAAAAATTAATGAGATTATCATAAAATGTATTTGACATATATTTTAAAATGTTTAAAATAATTTCTTTAAAATGTAGATGAGATACTCGCATTTCTTGGCAGTTCTGAAGCTCTACAGAACTTAGCATCAGCCGCCACTGGTACATGATAAAGTACAAAAATATATTAAACTAGTGTGGAGACAGCAAATTCGATAAATCATCGTTGAAATAAAAAGCTGTTTTGGAAATCCAACTGTTAAAAATAATTCAACTTTTTTAATTTGATCTAATTTTTTTTTTGAAATCTAATTAGATTTACCTCATACTTACATACATACATACTTATCTGAACGTTTACATCATCGAGAATTTACCTAAATAGAACCCCGTTATTTATAGCCTTATCTTTATTGGTACAAAAATTTTATAGCTTTGAAAGAAAACATTTATTAAAAGTATATCTTTTTGTAGAAATATCTATTTAGTAATGTGCGAAAAATAATCTACGGTATTCAAATATTTACATAAAACACTGCCCAAAAAAATAAAAATAAAAAAAAACATACTTGTTTAATACAAAAATATAAGCATTATGTTTTACACACATCAATCTTTGTTCATCCTTCAGATCCCCATGTCTTAGACACATAGGCTACAAGACCACAAAGCCCTCCCTCAAGGCTGGGCCTTTATAATGTAGGATGATTTGGACTCATACAAAATTAAGGCGTAATAAGTATGGCGATCGCGCTGGTCATACAAGTAAAAGTAGTTCTTTAATCCCAATCCAATTGTAAGAAAAAATTATAATAATTTAAACTTTTACCAAAGTGGCAAAAACGATATTTTTATACAACTCTATCCAGTGTTACAATTAAAAAAAATGTCACTATAGAAATATTGTCACTTATACATTTCAAATTGAAACTTTTAAGAACGTCCAATTATATATGATAAAAATTTAGTTTTTTATGCAATTTTAACTGGGTTTATAGAAAAAAAGCTTTTCAAATAGCTCTACTCGTTTTTGAAATCTTCCTTTACTACAAAATAAAATTAGACTTGTAACACTGCATCATAAAAAATAACTATTAACACGCGATTCAAAATGAAATTTTTATACTAATGATTCAGTAGGGAACAAGACGTAAATCAATTTTTTTAAAAGCTGCATCAACCAACTATATTTATCTGCTACCGCTAAAGCCGTATATATAGATTTTACTTCTAATCCATAAAAAAATAAGTCTACATTTTTTAGGAATTGCATGACATTTTTAAATAGTCTGAAAAAGCTGTGGAAAAAATGTTAAAAAGAATATGAGAAATCTTCTTAATTTTTTCAAAATTTTGCAACTTTGTACATATTTCTTTCTTTAAAAATATATTTGGTAGTAGGTGGATTTTCTTATTTTTAATTTTTGTTAATTGTATAAAAAATGTGCATGTTCATAAAAAACATATAATAAAAAGATAAAAGAGTGACACTAAACTTCATCATAATTATTTGCTTAATTTAGGAATCATGTGATTTAAAAATACATTTCTGAAGTCACAGGTACCTACCTACTCTAAGAATCTTTTTACACATGGTTTCAGATACATTTGAGTTATTAATGGAAATTCAGTCTGTTGACCTTCTCTTTGCTCTAATAATATCTAATGTCTTGCAATGTTAAATGTTTCACTCATTTAACATTCAGATCACTGAAAATATGTAGATATTTTAATTACAACAAAAAATATACCTTTCAATACCTACTTATGTGCTTCTGGATTTCTGCTACAAACATCTGCAATGTTTTCACCTTATTTTAATATAAAGTTAAAAAAAAATAAAAAAAGAACTTTAAGGTCATTAACAGAGTTACCTACAGTAGGCAATGAAAAGTCTGTATATGTTATAAAATGTATAAAAAACTCACCTAAACCCATTTTGCAGAAAATTGCAGCTGCATCTGGAGGCGTAATTTTAGCATGAGTTGCAGAAGGTTTCTTTTCTTCCACCTTTTTCGTTGTCTTTTCTGGTTCTGGTTTTTTCTCAAGGTCCAGTTTTTTCTCCGGTTCTTGTTTTTTTTCAACAGGCGGTATAAAAGGTGGTGGATCAATTACATGTTTTACAGGTTCATGTGGGATTTCTGGACTTAATTCTGGAACTGTCGTAGCTGGTTTACTAGGTAGATGTGATTCTAAGATATCACCAAAGGCATCAGTTCTAAACTCATCTTTAGGATGAATCGGTTTGTGGTCTTCAAAATCCAAAAATTCATCAACAATTTTTTTGGAAGGTTCACTTACTTTTTCTGCTTCTATTAAATTGAAGGAAGACTGTTTGCTGTGCCCAATATCGAATGCGGGGCTAGGATTTGGGGTAGAATCGCGTAGAAAATTCTCCAATTTATCTGGCCCTTCTCCTTTGCCGAGGAAATCGTCTTCTAGTAAACTTCTATTCATTTTTTCTGGAATTATTGGATTAGACAAGAAATCGGAAGAACCGGTGTGATGACTCACTGCGGTTTTGGGTGTGATATCGATTTCATGGACAGTTCCTGGTGCTGTCACCTCTTTGTTTGGTTTTAAACCCAACAAATCCTGTAAAGGACTCGAATCGTGTCCTAAATGTTCAAAATCGTCCACTGAATCCACTTCTCTTTTAATGTCAAATAAATCTTCGATCGGTTTTTTTGTTTCTGCCATTTCTAACGAAAAATTTTGAAGCACCGGCTACGTCTTAATACTAAAATATTAGATTCCTTCGTCCTTCTTTGCCACTAAACAACGTAAACTAAATTCGATTAATTCGAACTCGGCTCCAAACTTGAAACTCCCCAAAAATGTCAGATTCTAATGTCAAAATACTAGAATTTGATTCGCTGTTTGTTTAACATAGAACATAATAAGGAGAAATTTCAAGAAGAGGGAATTCCCTTTATGAGTAATATTTTTAAGATCCAATTGGCTCGAGTGTGACGCGATTATCAAATTCACAAACACTAAAATTCTGTGAAGCGAATGTGAATTCACCATCGCATGCCGATTGTCACTGTCAAATCTCAGATATTTATGGAAATGTATAACCACCCGAAGGTAGTTTTAATAACTTATAGCTGTCATAAAAACGGTGTAAAGAATGTTGAGTTGATAACAGATTAAATTTCACTAATCAATATATTTTTTTCAAATCTTGAAGGTAATAACAGTACTTGTTTTAGGAAAAAATACTTTTAATGTTAAAAAAATACAGACTAAAAAATCTAAAACAAGGGTAATTAAAAATTACGAACAAAATAATAAAATAAAAAATGTTTTTAGTTCTGTAAATTTTTTTGAGGATTTTGGACATTTTATGTTATAGATTAATATGATCTAGGTACATCACATAATTTTGTTAAAATAATATCGAATTATCTTTCTTGTTACATTTAGTTGCATATATAGCATGATAATACATAGTTATCTCTTTTCATATTTTTTGTCAACCATTATATCGACACCTCATAGGCCAAATGGCCTATTTGTTCCAATGGCGTAAAAAATAGGGGGATAAAAGTTGCCACTAATCCTGATAGCGTGCTATGGTTAAATTTTTCAAAATTTAGTTTAAATCAAAATATTACTTTACTTAAATTTGAAAAAAAAAAATATTTAAAGGCGTTTTTGATTTATGGCAAATTATTAATTTTAATCTCGGCTTCCTGTATTTCGGCAACTAAGCTCTTTAAGGGTTCTTGTTCCTATTCGCTAATTGCGAAGTCTTGGTAGGGGAGGCGAAAGCGATATTAGCGTAAACTGCGGATTCGAGCATTTTAGGGCGATATTTTTTAAAAATATATTAATAAATAAATAAATAAATAAATATTTTCACTTGTGTTATAAATTCACATACTATTAAAACCAAAAAATATATTTTTTAATTACGAATTCTATTAAAAATGATAGTCAATATACACAATATCGTCCTTTAGTTCATACTTCAGTTAGCGCTGCTATCACGCACGGTGCGAATATCAAAATTATCAAAATTAATCAGTTATCGAGAACTCTCTGCGTTAGACTGGGTAGAGCGTTGTCGGTTGAATATAGTTACACCCTGTATAACAAAACCTTTAGTTTTTTTATGACCAAACACCAAACTGTTGGAATTTCTTAGTTATCAAAATGTAAAGAGATCGGTATTATAGACACATCACTTCTATATTTTACGTCACACATAGACCCATAGTACACAAAATACTGTAAAAGTATCAAACTGGGTGTTCTGTGAAAAGTATTATTTAGGAATCAAACAGCCTACACAAAGTGCTTAATTATCTTATTATTATAGAAAATACAATAGTCAATATAAATAGCTGATGTGAATGTTTACAGGTATCTATTTTTTGTTTTAATCATCTTCAAAATTTTTCCTAATGAAATTTTCAGTCCAAATGGAACGGAGTCTACATTCGGATGGGTTAGAAAAACCATCCCTGTGGAATACCTCGTCAGGAGAATCTACAAGAAATGTTTTGGAAATGAACAATGAAAATTTGGTGTTCCAACAAAATGATTTGTTTCCCTCTGCGTTTCCTATTATGGCAGATATCAGGAGGCAAGGCAAACTGTGTGATGTTGTCTTGAAAGTAAGTTATTTTGATTACAATAATACTTTTCTAAAATTTCTAGTGTTTTAGGTTGAAGGTCAATTCTTTAGTGCTCACAAAATAGTTTTAGCATCTACCATTCCATATTTTCAAGCAATGTTTATGAATGATATGATTGAATCTCGTAATAAGGAAATAGAAATTAAATGTATTGATGCCATGTATGTTTAAAAAAACAAAGTCTCCTCCTATACATCTAACAAATGTTAATATTTTAGGGCCCTTGAAGCTTTAGTTAATTTTGCTTATATTGGAAAAGTAACATTGGACAAAAATAATGTACAGAGTATTATGATAGGAGCTTCTTATTTACAGTTAAATAAAGTTAGAGATGCATGTGCCAACTATTTATTACAAAGGTGAGTTTTATCTTCTGTTCTTTTAGGTATGCATTAGTATCCTGTAGTCAGTTGTGAGACAACTCTTTAATAAAACTTGGATGATGAAAATTATTGTCTGTTTTAACATTTTAGATTTTATTAGTTTGTTTATAAAGAAATAAAACACATTTTGTGCTGACCTGCCATCTTTAATTTGGTAATTTAATCAATACACTCAATCTGGAAAAAACAGTACTTTGTTGGGATGTTGTGAATATACTTATTCTGCCATGCTTAGCTAAAACTTCCTAACAAAATTTCAGTTTGTGAGTTAAAGGCATATTTGTGATGCAGACATGCATCTACAATGTTTTTCTACCTAACTAAAATATAAAGATTTAAAGTACTTGTTTCAAACATTCAATTTTGTCCTAATATTTAGGTAGTGGACAATATGAAAACAAAATCATTAATATCTCAAAACTTTCCTCATGACAGATAGGACATTTTAGCTAAGCAGGCAGTATTATGTACTAAAGAAACCTTTACCCAGAGGGAGATTCAAAAAATGAATGAATTTTAAAAAAAATACTAAGTATTTCCATTTTTGATTCGATATTTTGAATCTCCCTGTAGATATCAAAGGTTTGTTGGCACAACTTTTGTCTAATTTAACCAACTACCTATCTGTTACCATTTATGAAACAGTAATACTGTCAATATGAAATAGTAGGGACCCTGTATAGATTATTTTCACTATTGTCATTTAAACATTAATAATAAGTTGGTTACATATAAGGGGTAAACCGCTGGTGTATTATGGTGTACTATTTGTATATTTCATGTACTATCTTACTTGTACTATTTTGTACTAATTGTGTAGGGTTACTCATATTGCAGCCAAGCTGGCCCCGGAGAACATACACAACCTTTTTTTTAGGTCATCAACCTAACCTGAGACTTTTTTAACTCATCAACCTAATTTTTTAATGTTTGTGTACTATTTATGTACAATTTTGTACTATTTGCATAATGTGTGTACAGTACTATTTGTGTACTATTTCTGTAGTATTTGGGGCACAATGTGTACTAGTGCACAACATTTTTCCAGAGGTTTACCCCTCAATTACATACTTTTAAACTGCTTTTTTAATACTTGAAAACATTATTAAAAAAAAAATCACCAAAAACGTATATGTCAAATTTAATGACATAATGGTGTTTTTTTTTTTTTTCATTGGTTTTGACTTCGACAGCTTAGGTCATTAGCCTCGTGTTCTATGTAGGTTATGGATTGTACTAGTAATATAATACTCCATAGTGCAGGAGGCAGGAGTGCTAGCACAGCTTAACAATACAGCTAAAACACTCTCTTGGCGGCAACGGTTTGCGTCGATTTCGTCGCGCATCGCTTAAGCTCCGCCTTCGAAGGGAAAAGACGGTTTTGGCGTTCAGAAGCGTACTTAGGCAAGGTGTTGAGTCGTGCGTATAATTTCGTTGATTGTATAATTTCGTGGAGCCTATAATTTCGTTGATTTTGTTTGAGTTAAAGGTACTGTTATTATTTTGGTGACTCTTTAGCTGTGAGTAGAATGAGTTTGTGCAGTCAAAAGCTGTTTTAATAAGGGTTATACCTGCAAGAAAACATTCTTTAGTTTTCCCAAGGACCCAAACCGATAAGTACTACATTATAAGAAATTTTCATTGTTAAAAATATAATTTATACAGGGTGTCTCATTAGTGCGTTATTGTTCATTATTTTGTTGTAGACACGCAAGAAAGTTTTAAATAAAAGTTATATGGATTTGAAAAATACCTACATATTTTAAAAATATCTTTGGATATACAGGGTGTCACGTTTTTGCCTGGAAAATTAAAATGTATGTTTTTTAAATGGAACACCTTGTATTTTATTTTATGATGAAATTATTAACACCCTAAATTATTGTAAAGACGAATTGCTACAGAAAAATTTTATCAGGAATGTGTGTGGTTACCTTTTAATAAAAGCCTTGCGGATCCACTCCTGCGATACCTGTCTTAAATATAACAAAGATCACGTTGAATTAGACGATTTTTCTTTTTATTGCTTTTAAAAGGCATATGATAACGCCAATTCAGATACATTTGGAAATCTGCAACTGTCAAATGATGAATTTGTAGAACTAATATTCAATATTGAAAAGATATTTTAAAATAATTTTGAAGAATTGGCTACAAAAAATAACATTGGTACCACACTTTTAGAATTAATTAACCCAATACCCTTTAGTCATCCATGCTAACGTTTTCCAAAAGAATAACTTATTTTATTGTATGTTTAATCTCAATAACTAAAAAATATACTGACAATTAGTTTGACAGAATTGTCATTTATTTAAAATTTTAAAAATAATAGCAGTCGGTTGATCAAAATATGAACGGTGATTGGCGAATTTATTTTTTTTTTGCAGTGTTCTCACTACCTAGAATGGATATGAAATATATTCGTTCAATTGAAGGCAATAGCATACTTTTTCGTTTTGTAATCTGTGCATGGATATTAGCCAATCTACGCACATACTACAAAACGAAAAATTATGTTATTGCGTTCAACTACGAATATATTTCATATCCATTTTAGGTAGTGAGAACACTTTAACAAAATTAAATCTACAAATCACAGTTCATATTTTGGTCACCCAACTCCTATTATTTAAAATTTTTTAAATAAGTGATAATTCTGTTAAACTAATTGTCAATATATATTTTAGTTATTGATATTAAATATACATTAAAATTTTTGTGTAGACTCGATAAATAATAGCATTTTTGTTTTTATTATGTCCACATTTAAAAAAAAAAAAATTTTAATCAAACTACATGATACTAATTTAATTACGAGTATTAAAACTAAAGTCCTGAAAGTTTCGGTGAAGATGAGGACAGAACATCTGCCTTCCATGCGAAAAGTTCGGGATCGAATCTAGGCCGAGGACTAATTAATTTTTCATGTTTATTTTATTTTATAAATTAGTCAACTTCGTAAATTATTTTAAAATTAGTTATTTTGTCTAAATAACCTAAAATAATTTTTTAAATTTGTAGATTTTCGTTAGTGGGTCGTAGAAAAAATATACTGACCATATCGAGTGGATTGTTCATATCACAATCAGACAATTGAGTACTCCGCCTACGACGTCGTGCTCAAACTTCGTCTTTGTGTGATATGGCTATCATATCCACCCTTGTTGAACAAACTACAATTTATTTGTTTTCTTGGTTTAAGTTTTACATCAGAAATAAGAACTAAATTAATTTACTTTTCAAGTTTTCTTGTAAAAATCGATATTACTTTCTCCAAGTACAAATTTAGTACCTACCTCAAATAAGTACTAATTATGTAATATTGTGTAATATTGTAATTCAAATTTCACATTACTATAAAGTTTCAAAATTCCCTACTTCGGTATGGTCAGATAAAAATTGAATATATTATATTAATAAAAACTGTTAAAGTATTACTTCTACAAATCTGTATTTCAATTAATAAGAATACATCTAAATATAACCAATATTGTTAAAATAAAAGCACAAATTCTTTATAATTCCAAAATACCATAGAGTTCCCAGACCTTAGTCGAAGCATTCGTTTATCTAGGTATAAACCCTTTGCGCGAAGAGTAACACTTGCCAGAGACACGGGGTACCACTTGATTTGCATCCACGAGCGTGACACATTTCTTTAACAATTGAAGCCCTTGGTGTAAAAAGGATCCAAGTCACAATTTGTCGTGAAGTGACTGTTTTAGCTCAAAACATTTGTTAACGAGGATTTTACTAGCCACATACAAATTATTTTACCTCTAATCCGAAAGATGTGCTATTTTTCGTAATATTTATATTTAAATAATTTTTTTAATTATATTTGACAGATTTAAAACAAATTAACAATTTAATTTCCCAAAACTTACTTAACATGGCATGTAACCAACCTTATTACGTCAAGGTTTTCAATTTTTTCAATAATAAAAAAATTGCTTAATCCGGGCCCGACTTTTCCCTTTAATCTAACAGAGATAGCACCATTCCGTCTTGCTTGGTTCTCGACCGCCAGATCAAAGACGCCGACACGGAGTTGTGGAGCTGTATTGTATAAGCTGTGGTGCTAGTACTCTAATACTACTGCACCCCTACAGACAGGCCTTGTTACTGTTTCCCAGCACCTTTAATTAGAACCCAACAGTAAATGGTCGGAGTGGATAGAATGGTTTGTTTTCATTAAAAGTTAACTGTTAGTGGAATACAAATTATGTCACACTAATTTAGTGTTGGTGATCTAACGACAGTGGATGGGGCGCTATTAATGACCTTGCTGGCGTGTTTTTAATGTATGATGTTACCTTTCCAAATACAGAAATATTATGTACATTTATAGAATTCATCCTCAGAACGCCCTAGGATTCAGGCATTTTGCAGATTCGCTAGGTTGTTCCACTCTTGCAGATTCTGCAGAAAAATATATTGAATCCTATTTCCACGAAGTTTCACAACATGAAGAATATTTAAATTTATCTGTAGACGAAATCAAAGAATTGCTGACTAAAAATGATCTCAGAGTAGATAGGTAAGCAAATTTAAAGTCATTTTAATTTAATTAACAAAATGAATTTGTTCTTGTTTTATTTAGTGAAGAGCAAGTTTTTGAAGCTTGCATGAGATGGGTAAAGCATGACGTTGTAATGAGGAAGGACCATTTACCTGAGTTATTATCACTTGTACGGTTGCCATTGCTCTCACCTTTATATATAACAGATCGAGTAAGAAATGAGGATCAAATTAGATATTCCATACAGTGTCGGTAAGTATATTTGAGTTTCTTCTAAAAATATTGTATTATTGTAAAAGAAAATAAAAAACAATTTGATGAAATATTATTATGGATCTTGCTATTCAAAAAATATCCTGGTTTTTTAGAGATCTTGTTGACGAAGCATTAACATTTCATTTAATTCCTGAACGACGAGCGTTGATACAGAGTTTCCGGACGGAACCTAGAGTGTGTGATATTAAAGGCCATATTTACGTAGTAGGTGGACTCAATAAACATGGAGACTCTTTATCCACGGTAGAATATTATGATCCGAAAAAAGACAAATGGAATATGGCTCCTCCCATGTCAATGATGAGGTCGAGATTAGGCGTGGCTGTGATTAAAAGCAAATTGTTTGCTTTTGGAGGTTATAACGGAAAGGATAGGCTGTCGAGTGTTGAAGTTTTTGATGCCATAAGGAACGAGTGGGCTACAGTGGCTCCCATGATCTGTAAACGAAGGTAGAAATTAATCAGTAGGTTTTTGAAAATCAAATAAGATATATTTTAATTTATTTTAGTGCTTTAGGAGCTACTGCATTAGGAGATATAATATATGTCTGCGGGGGATATGATGGTTTGACATCATTAAATTCTGTGGAAAGGTACCATCCGAGTACAAATTCTTGGTGTTCTTTAGCACCTATGAACAAATCCAGAAGCGCTGGTGCAGTTATTGCTTGTCAAGGTGATTTTCTAAAATTTTAAATAACAGCATTACTATATTTCTAAAATTTTGTCTGTTCCTTTTTTGAATAAAGGGTCTGTTATTATAATTACTATATAGGTTACATCTATGCTCTTGGTGGTCATGATGGTTTATCAATATTTGATTCTGTGGAAAGATATAACCCTACTACTAATATGTGGTCTGAAGCACCTCCAATGCTTACGAAAAGGTCAGTAAACATCCTCTTAAGAATCTGGAGTAATTTTTACATTGTATGAACCCCTCCTCTTTGGTAGCTTTTCTTTTCTAATGAGTAGACATATAACTTTTATAATGAGTAGGCATATAACTTTTATAATAGACTGTTTTGTTAAATTGTAAACATTTTCCAATCTAGGTGCAGACTCGGAGTTGCAATGTTAGGAGGAAAATTATACGCTTGTGGTGGATATGATGGAAGTTCTTTCCTTCAGACAGTTGAAATGTTTGACCCGTCTACAAACAAGTAAGATTTAGTTTTTTAATATTTAAAGTTTGTCCTCATTTTTTGTGAAATCTGCCATAGTTTGGTTTTTGCTATTAAGTGATGTGGATTTTCCTCACATTTTAATGTAATACATGTTCAACAGAATTTATAAATTGTATTTGTATTAGGATTTATTTAAGTTTCTTTTGGGTAAAGGTAAGAAATGTCCACATTTGAGCAGTTGGATACCCTGCTTCATTAAATTTCTTTTTATATGGGATTGTTAAATCACCTGCATGAAGAACTAGATTAGGACAAGGTACAACTTTAGATATATAATTAATAAATATTAAAAATGGGATGGGTTCTGGAAGTATTCCATAATAATTAATGAACCTGCAAGCAGTTGCCTAACCTCTTAATTCAAAAAATTGTATCCTTTCAGATAATAAGATTTTATAAATAAGAATCAAACCTTTTTTTTTTAATTTCAGATGGGTGTACGTAGCACCTATGAACGCTCAACGTAGTAGAGTGGCACTGACAGCGAATATGGGAAAGTTGTGGGCTGTGGGTGGCTATGATGGTATCTCAAATCTTGTAACTGTTGAAGTATATGATCCAAAAACTGACAAATGGATTTATGCAGCAGAAATGATTGCACATGAAGGTGGTGTTGGTTTGGGGGTTATTTCAATACCCTAATTATGTTTAAGGTGGCGATTATCTAAGAAATGTATTAAATGTTTGTTTAGGCTCGTCTATGCTTCTTGAAAGATCTGACTTCTCCAGTTTCTCGAATTTTAAGTTCTTTTCTGTTGTATTAAATTGAATAGGATTTATTTTAATTTCCAAAACTGCGTTTCATTCACTTTTAAATGCAGTAGTATACATAAATTAATGCAAATTTAATATATTTGTTAAAAAATCGTCATCTTATATTTGAAACAGATGTGTTGTGATGTATTTATGACTGTGTATTCCTAACGATGAAAAATTGATCAAGATGTTTAAATAAATAGTTTTAAATTTTAAATGCTCCTTTTAATATACCTATTTGTACACAGAGATATAACCATTCATTGATAGAATATAATATTCACGATACCAAGATTTAAAGATTAATTTGACCTCCACTTGTGGGTCCACGGCGACGATAGAAGTAAGAGAGAGGATAAAGAGAACGATTTTACGCCGATACAACTTTTTTTTATCATTAAATAAATGTGTAAGACATGGTACGCTTATAATTAACAATGTAGATATCCATGCCGGTGTAAGCCCTGTTGCCACTTCCAAATTAACATTACTAGGTTTTGGATTGAAAATTGTTACATCTAATTTAGTGAAATTACATCTAATTTAGTTAAATTTGATATAACTAATGATTAAAAATCTTTTTGGCTTCAGTTGCAATAAAATAGGTTGAATTATTTAAGCTTTTTAATATTTGTAAATAATTTTGCAAACAAAACGAGAATGAAATAGGCATATGACAACAGCGGATATTATACCCTCCTGTGTCCCTTAGAATATGTCTTATTCAGGACCGCACGATATTTGTTAGTAGTTACATCTGTTATCTCTTTATGTACATCATCATCCATAGGATAACCCAGTGGAATTGATATTAGATTATTTTGTGGTACTCAGACAATATATCAAAGAATTTTGAAGTGAGAATTCCGTGACTTCGAAACTTTAACCCCTCGCCCAGCCACGAGCTCGAAATTGGTATGGCATAGTTGTTACAAATTTTAATTATTTTCAGTTTTCTTGCTGAATATTGTTGCCATATAAATAGGCCGGGCTGGGTGTAAGCAGTAAAGAGAACTTGTTAGAAGAATTGCTGTTCATTTTTAAACATAGCTGATGTTAAGAAAAACTAAATAAGGCTAATGGGGTTTAAAATAAAATGCACACGATTTTTATTATTATAAAATTGTGTTATAGAATAAATATATTGTAATCCTTAAAAAATTTGGAATTGCTTACCTGATAATAATCTCCCTATAATTCACCCCTTATAAGTGAATTTTAACCTTGAAGCTAAATAACGAGCTTGTGCAAGGAAGGGATGTATATTATTATTTGCTGTATTACTGACAGATGATCGATGGTCCATTTGGTGCACGTTATTAGTGTCAGCTCTGCGTGCTTTATTTATAGGCACAACACGACAAATAAACAATCTTTCTACTTTTTGTTTAACAAAAATTATCAATGCAGAGTGAACCCCAAATATTGTCACTATTGGTCCTGAATGTCACCTGACTTATGCTGAACAGAATTATTAATAAACTTGCACCAACCTATTATTATTGTTCATTTTTGTAAATTATACAGGGTGTTTTTAAATATCTACAGGGTGTTGAAATTTTAAGATATTTGTTTTTTCTTTACAGCTGTAGTTTCCACGTTATGGTTATTTAGGTTTTTTTGTACTGTAATAAATAATCATCCTAGCTTTAATTTTTAATAGCCAGTGGCGAATAAACTAAAATTTTCACCTTTCATTTAACGAATTACAGAAAACACACAGACACCAAAAAATTTCAAATTCATTTTGTATTTTCGAATCTACAAGCAACCCAGCACAACTTAGATCCCACATTTGAACTAAATCAAAAACTACAGGAGTTACAAACAAACAATCTTGAAAGCTCATTAATGACATTTTATTGATGAAATAAGCCAAAGAATTACCTCATTTGATATTAAGTCTAAAATCACATAACAAGTGTAAACCTAAGAGCATTGGCAACATTGCTTAAATAACCAATTTTTGCTTTCCGTAGCTGTTCGAGGGGAAACGAGGTATTACGAAGGACCTTTAAATGGGTATATATTCTTTGTAAACTTTTGCATTTGGTGTGGGTAATTTGTAACTTGCGATAATAATTTATCAATTTTATCTTTATCTAAAACTATGCAAATGAAAAGACAAAAACAACAGACAATGGTTTAAAGAGAATTTTATTGATATAATGTATTTAACATCTATTACATACAGACATATCTCTCTACAATATTTAAATGTAATGTAGCAGAAAATAGTTCCAAGCAAGAAATAAAAATGTAAACCAAAAGTTCCCAAAAAACGTGTGCATTTATATCAACTGTTTAAACTTGCCCAGTATCATTAGAACTCTCCGCCATTGCAAAAAAAACCAAACTCAAAATTAAACCAAAACTATAATTTGGTCTAAAATTAAACCGAAAAACTGCTACTCTTATTAATATTATCTTAATTTTTTAAGCGTTGTGTTACGATTTTGCGCCCACTGAATGTCAATACTGGGCATCTAACGGATCAGGTTCGATAATTACAAAGAAATTCCTTCAAACTAGCTACTGATTTCTTTAAAAAAACGAACCTACATAGATATTGCGTGATTTATTATTACGAAAAATGTATTTGCCAAAATGTCAAACTTGTCGATCTGTGCTATCAATGTTCATAGATAATTATGTAGTAATTTTTATTAATCAATAAATTTGTATTGAGTAATCCTGAGATGTTAACGTTTTAACAACGTTCATTGGTGTTATTCCAGAAACTAAGATGTTTCTATACCATAACAGTTTTGACGGGTATCTAACTGCATCAAACTACATTTTTGGTAATGACAAAAACACGCATACAGCAGACAATTAAAAATATAGATTTATATTAAAAATAAAATCACAAAAAATTAAAGTCCCAGAATAGATAGTTATAACCATTAGAAATTTGGTCACAATTATATTATTTATATTTATATATATATATTCTATTATCACTCCTAAGATCATTCGACAAACTCGATGTTTTCAACAAGAGATGCCTCTTTTCTCATCAATAGCTTCGAAATACTTTCATAAAGCACATACTCGAAAATTTCCTAGCAATTCCAGATTATAAATACAAAAATTCTCAGTACTTTCGATAAGTTTCTTTTTTTTGTTTCTAAAATTACACAATGGTAGCTTAAAGAAATAATACAATGTTAATTTAAATCGTTGACCGTCCTACATATAAATACAAGCACGAAATTAGGTTTGTTTTTTGTTTGTTTAGTTTGTAGTAAAAGTGCTCCAGTGCAGTATATCTATTTTCGGACAAATCAACGTGACTAAGGTACGTCTTTCTGTGTAGATGATTCAATTCAAGTGGAAACCTTTTTCTTTCGTAGCTGCTAGGAGTCTTTGCCTTAATATATCCTCTGTAGGATAATCCGGTAGTTTTAAGTAGTGTACGCACGTGTTGACGGAGGGATAGGAACCTTCTCCGGCATCGACTTTACGTACTATTGTGAGCCTTGGATACAGGTTGGCCAGGCCGCCTGGTGGTAGAGAGCTGCAGCCAGTAGTGAATTGCAAGAAGGCTTTCCTTTCTTCTGACGTCATATTTACAAGCACGTTTACAAATCTCAAGAAACCAGGACTGAAACAAAATAAATTAACTATATAAATATAGAGACAAATTAATAAATATAATTAGATTAGGGCATTATTTCTTTTACACTATAACAACATTCTGGAAGTTCTCAAACTCACGTCATTCGTATCATATTAGCATAATATGTAGTTAGTCAAAAGTGATAACTATTTTAACTTTTCAATTAAATCATGCAGTTACTGATTTCGTTTCAACTCATTTTGTGATCAATTAAAAAGTACGCTGCAACATATTATGTTTGACAACCTTGTGAAACCCGAGTATCAGAAACCTATCTTACATTGCCATATCCTTCTGAGGTTGTCTGTCTCTCACAGATTTCTATGAAACAAAACGAGAAAGTCAGTTAACTAAAAAGCACAATATAGTGCAATATATTCCGTTCAACACTCCTACGCTCTGATATCCGTTAGAGCAGGTAAAACCCGTTTTGTTTTTTAATTATTAACTTCATAATTTAAAATATTTATTTGCAAATGGATGAGAGCATACCAGTAACACTGTAAAAAGAGTGAAACGGTCCAATTTTCCTCCAGGTGAACGTACAATGATAAAAAACATCTATTTCGCAATTTTGAATAAAATGTATTCTGAATTTACAAGAATTTCAGTATCTACAGAAAGTTTTAAAAGAAAACAAATTAGAAAACGAAAAATGAAAATCGAAAGCAAGGCTGATAAGATGTAGAAAGTAGTAGCATTTATATATAGTTGAATATTGTGCTTCAATCTATTTACAGATGAATCAAATATAAGATTATCCAGAGAGTTTGCCAATCTTAAGTATCCAAGGAATACAACAACTGTTAAAAGTATTATCAAGTCTATAAAAATATATAATCTTTGTGATATTGTATTAGAAGAAGGATCAAAAAGATTAATTTTTGATAGAATTTCAGGACAATCATATCTTCCATTAACAATATTAAAAAAATCAGCAGGTCTCTATGTTTTCTTGTGGTTTCCAGAGAAGGTATCTTTAAAAACTGCTCCATTGCTGTATAATCATAAAAAAATTTGTAATTTAAAGGCTATGTACTAAGAAAATTGTTTTGAACATGACTGATTTGAATTTTTATAAATTATATTCCCAAAGTAACCAACTACATATCTTTAAACTTTAAACTATTTTTTATGACATGCAAACAATATTAAAAAAAAAAAAAATATATAGCAATCACTAATTTGGTGCACGTGTCCTTATGAAGAGACGAAATTATGCGTGAATTTTTTTAAAATAAGCCTATTAAAAATATTTTAAAAGCAATGGGGCATGTTCAAAAATTTTGAAATTTTTTTTATGAATAGTAGAGTTAAAAATAAAACTACATTTTTTTTATTTTTTTTTTATCTATTCATTTGCCGGAGTTATGAATTTTTTAAAAATTTATGACGTCACCGGGAATAGACCAATAGGAGCTAGCGCACAACGTTGCCGGCTAGAAGGTTTACGAGAAGTGATGTACGTTCGTTTGTGTACTCCTTCTTACTTTTAGACTTCTAAAACATCGTTAAACAAATATCTTTTAAATATATAATATCAAATGTGTTTTGAAAGTATTATTTCTGTTTAAACTTTTACCATATTTAACGTTTCATTGTTTTCAAAGTCACTTAATAATTCAGAAAATGGCAAAATGGCAGCACTGTGTATGGCAGTGTATGGCATCTGTCATCATAGTGTCTCGATCAAGAATTTATTTGGAATTTGAGTGTTTAATTTTGTACTTTTTATAAATATTATGACTACGAAAAAGTGTTTTGTTCCAGAATGTGATAATGATTCACATTCATTTTCAAAAATATTTATTAGTGTTCCTAGAAATTTGGAAAGAAGAAAATCAACCTTCTACTAGCGATGTTTCTCGTAAACTTTTTAATAAAAATACACCGGATTATCAAGATATAGCAGCAATTTCTGCTAATTGTCCCCTTCAGGAAATTGAAAATTAGGCTACTATAAATTCTTAGGTGAATAACCTAAAAACCCTTCTGGAAGAAAATGCAGAATCTCCTGAAAGTTTTGAAGATACCGAATTTATTCTTCATTTTGTGGAAGAACTAGTGATAAAGAAATAATAGAAAAATGTGGGTATTTAAACAAACTGGTTCCTGGATCCCATATAATGGCAGATAGGGGTTTCAGAATATTCAGCTACTTGAAAACATGGGATGCACTTTAGTAAAGCCACACCTAGTGTATCACAGAATGAAAAAAGTTCTCCAGAAGATGTACAATTAAGTAAAAGAATCGAGAAAAGAATAGCATCTCTAAGAATACATGTGGAAAGAGTTAGTTAATTTAATTTAACATGTTAAAACCACATTCGTGTGTGAGTTTTAAGCAAGTACATTTACTTAGTAATATCTGCATAATTGCTTGTTAACTTACAAGAACCTATTTTGTAAGAGTTGTGACGAAGTCACTAAAATTCCCATTAATTTATTCCATAAATTAATTTCTAAAATTAATTTCCGTCTATGAACATTTTCAAGACCCCCTGTAACTAATGTTTCCATAGAATTACCGTTTTTAAATCTTTACAAGAGCCCTCGTAGTTTAAAACTTTTCAATATCACATTAATGTAAATCGTCTCGTAAAATTGCAATAGTAGTAGATTTTATCAGTAAGCTGATCAATTAACGTTTTTTTTGCAATAACAATTTATTTCCTCTAGGTGGGGCTACCGCCCCACTCCGGCAAAAGTACGAATTCTGATAAAACTAGATGTTTGCGATGTAGGAGACCTTTTTTCCTGCTGTTACCGTGAGTTGGAGAGAAAAAAGTTGCCTTGCTGTGGTGCCGATTATACCGCAAAGCGATTTTGGTGAAAAGTTAATTAAGGTAGGCCTTTTTATTTAAAATTCCGTCTAATAATTCTCCCTGTAACATTCACTTCCGTACTATTAATTACATGAGCTATTCGACCGATATTTTTAATTTCTTAGTGCCTGTCAGGGTAACGAATTGTATTTAAATCCGGGGCGTTAGTGCCCTTCAACCATTTTCGTGTTAACCAAGGGATGATAGTGGTATTCGCTTGCTATCCCTGTCGAGAGTCGCAGCCATTTCTGTTCTGTAGAAGCTATGGATTCCCAGATCTCCACATAAGAGAAACTTGAGGCCGAGTAAATAAAATAAAAATTCTCAAAGTATTGGTCGAATAATACCGCGTTAAGACACCCGTTATTTGGTCTATTGTGCCTAGTAAAATAATATTGCGGGGAGGATATTAGGCGTCGTTTTTACAAAGGCATCCGTCATTTTTTTTTCCTCTCATGAGTGGAGGGTGATACTGTTCACCACCATTGGCCGATTACCGATATTTTTTATTACTGAGAGTAGCTTATTAATTTTTTTTTATTTTTAAAACGTATAGTTTGAATCATATTTAGTTTTATTATTGTAGATTTTTTTTCTTATGGCTAAAGCCGGCCGTTTTCATTAATAGCAAGGAATTTGTGCTAAGGGTGTTAGTGCCCACCGTTTTAATTTTTTTTAAAGGGAAAATTGTTATTTTTATTTTCTTATGGGTATAGTATAGGTCTTAGTTAATTTTACCGTTTTATCATTTTCTGTAAATACAGAGACCTTTTATTTTATCAACATACATAATTCTACATTTATTTTATTACCGTTATTAAACAGATAAATATATACCGATTTCATCCCGTTTATTTTATTTTTAATTATTATTTATTTTGTAAATATATTGTTGATTGAAATTCCTGAGTTTAATTTTGAATTACGCCCTTTGCTTTTTCCGTTTTCAGGGCGTAGTGATTAATAGGTAAAAGTGTAGTGAAAAACTTTATTTACTTTACTACCCCAGTGTAGGTCAACTTAACAGCGAAGGTCTATCCGTTTTATTTTTTTTTATTTGTACCTGGACTCCACTGAGTCTACTGAGGGTGTACTCTACGTGCACCCCAGGGCCGCAGAGCAAACTGCGATATCAAAACTGGCGCCTGAGCAACCCCTATTCGGGAATTACATTCATAGCGCCACAGACTCGCTGAAGCACTGTAGGTGAATCAGGAGACTTGTCACAGAGTAAATATTAATTTAATAAATTTTTTTTGTTTGTTTTTTTAATTTAATTTACCTAATTATCACATTTCAGGGATTATAATGAGTTTTTAAAAAGCCAATGTAATTTTTTATAAAATTTTAACTTTTCGAACAAATCAAAGAGGAATGAGTACCTGTATATGCATAGATTTTTTTGGGACTAAAACTACCAATACAAAGGCACCTATTTACAGCAGTTTAAAATGAAACAATTTGACAAAAACTCATATGTCACAATGATAAATATTAAAAACAACCAAGTTCAGTTGAATGTGGTAGCAAAGTCTATATATTCCAATAAATCGGGTAACTACATGTGGTATCACTGGTGATAAATTTAAAAATATCACAATTCTTGCCAGCTTTTTCAAAAAACCAGAAAGTGTGCCTTCATACCAATCCTTTATGAAAATGACAACAGTGATAAATGTGAAAAAAAAAATTTAATGTTGCTATTCATTATTACGATAGTAAAACATGTTTGCAGTTCCGTTTATTTGTTATGAAAATCTAAGTAAAAACAACCAATGTCAAAGGGTTATAATTTTTTTTCTGTCGAACCAAATATATCACAAAATTTAAAAATTGATCATAGGTCAAGCTAAAGTAATATCTTTATTGATACTAGCTTTAAAAAAGGAGAAAGAATAATATTGACTTAAGTTATTATTATTAACATTGGTGATTTTTAATAAAAACTCTTCAATTATTGTTTACAAACAAAAATATAAAAATCTGTGAAAATTTTATTTATTAACCTTTTAATAAAAAATGAGAAAAATGAAGTAAAAAAACAATTTATTTACAAATAAAAAATATATACAAATCCTAAGAATATAAAAGTACTGATATATTTTCCTGTAGTGGATGAAGAGGTTTCTTTAACAATCTAGCCAAGTGTACATCAATATTTACGCATTTTGATAAATTAGAGCCTTTCCAATAACACTGAGTAGATGTTACAGATGGTTCCTCACTTCTTCTATGAAGCCACATATTTACAACCAACTGAAAAAAATAAAAGGGTTAGATATGCAGTTACAAAATAACTATATAACCAGCTACAAAATGCCTTTATTTTATGTAACAAGACGAGTAGAGCTTTACTAGCTCTGAACGAATCCAGTAAAGAACCTCGGATTTTCAAAACTTAAAAAAAAAACAACCTCACCACATTTTCACATTTTTGAAATATTATAGAGCATTTCAAAAAAAACTGCTATTTTTAAAAATACAATTTTTTGTTTAAACAGCTATGTCTCATTTTAGGCTATTGAGTATTATAAAATAAAAAATTACGGGATGCTTTGTTAGCTTCAAACGAATCCAGCAGAGCACCCCAGTTTTTTTTTAAACCACACCACGTTTTTTGGCTCCTACAATATTATAAAATATTCGAAATTTGGCATTTTAAAAAAGATTCGCAATTCCTTGCTGACTTCTAAAAACAAATGTACTTACCACATTTTTAGGATTTTAAAACAGCCTAAACATGTGTCATAAGTAGTTGTTTTTATATATATATATATATAAAAAAAAAACAAATTAAAAAACTGAAGTGTCCTGCTGACTTTGTTCCAACAAAGCACCCTGTATTATTTAAAAATAGCAATTTTTTTAGTAAAGTTTTACAATATTTCAAGAGTCTAAAAATATTCTAAAAATGGGGTGTGGTTTTTGAAAAAAGCTTTAAAAAAACCGAATTGCTCTGCTGGCTTCTTTCGAAGGTTAGCAAGCACCATGTATTTTTAAAAGTATAATATTTCAAGTTGCTGTTTTTACAGAAAAAACTTTATAAAACAGAGGTGCTTTGCTGACTTCGTTCGAAGCTATAGAGCATTTTTAGTTTTGCAAAAAACGAGGAGCATAAAATTTTTGAAAAGGGTATAAAAATAGCCTATTCTTTGGTATCATAATTATTACTAGGTTCACTAACAAAATCTGTTTCTAGATTATTTTAACACTTGCTGCGATTACAAAAAATGTCTATATGTCAAAATTAGAAAAAAAATATTTATAGTAATAAAGGGCCTTATACACTGTTTATTATATGTAATATAAAAACAAAAAAGCATAATAAATATTACAAACCTTGACATGCAGCATATTGTGCACTAAAATTTTCATTTTTGTTAATTACAACAACAACATCAGAAGGTTTTTGCCGTACTTTATGTTTAGGTGTAATTTGTCTCCTTGTCTCTTATGGAAAAAGAAATTATCCCCATATTCTTGCTTGGCAGATCTAAAAATAAAACCTGAGATAAATACGTTTTACTTGCTCCATATAAACTGTAACTACCTACTATTAAAACAAAGTCTTACCTTTCTAACTTTTGTAAACTGAGTATTGTTAAAAAATGCAGTAATCATCTCGGTAATCATATTTTCGTTTACAATGGGTAAAACACTTGATTCAACTTTTATAAATCCAGCTGATTCATATTAATAATAAAATTAAACCAAAACCAGGGCTGGATACCAGGGCTGGTCTGCTGGATACCAGCCCTGACCAAAACAAAAAACTAAGGTTAGGTGCTGTCAATTTTAATGTCACTTAGATGTGCGTTCACTTCGACATTCTGTGTGTCGGTTTGTTCGTTGGCTTGGTTTTGTATAACAAAAAAACTTCGACACAAGATGATTGGTCTATTCCCGATGACGTATAATTTCAAATTTTAAATTTCAATTGGGCTTAATTTAAAAACTTTTGGCTTTTTTAACGAACTGACTATTTAGAATAACTTGTATAGCGACTAACTATTACAATATAATTTATAAAACAGCATATCTCACATGTGAACATGGCCCATTGTTCACATTTCCCTGTTCAGTTCCGAGATTGACAAATGGCGTTAATTTGCAAACTTTTGGAACCAAAGTAGAATGTGACCAGCGAAATGTGGCTAGCAAGAAATAGATGCTCATTGGCCAAAGTAGTCATTGCTTCAACACTTTATGTATGCATCTCGTGTGTCAATTCTCGCTGGCCGTATTGTATATATAAATTTGTTTTACTGACCTATCCTTAGTGTACCCAAGTTTGGGTTCCGTATAATTAAGCAGGTCCTCCATGGTCCATTCGGGATTCTGATCGCCGCACAGCATGACCCTTACTTCTTCTGGACTGAAAGCCGCCATCTTTTCCACAGGAAACACTAACGAAAAACCTTTGTGGAATGCTTCCAACTGCCTGGCCACGCCCTTATCCAAGCATACGGACGTGGTCAATTCGGCATATTCCTCCACATTTTCTATATTAACTTCTATATCAGCACCATTAGGAACTAAATCTACAGCCGAGAATCCATAGACGCTCGAACTAGGTAAATATGTGAATGTTAAAGCTAAATCTTCTAGAAGTACGGGACCCGATGAGTGACTCAAGCAGAGGTTCTGCACCTATTACAGAGATGTCAAATATTTATTAAGTTAAATTTTTTATAATATTAAAGCTCTCATTATAAAAGTTAAGTAGATCGATAAAAATCAATGATGGGAATGAAATTATATAAATAATGATAAATATCGAAAATATATGACAAAAGAAACAACCCAGCAAATTTTTGTCTCACCTGGTGATTCCTTTGTTCAGGAGAAAGCGTATGATCTTGCAGTATCTTCTGCTTTTGCTTAATCAATTCTCTAATTTGTTTAAGGAAACTAGCTCTAATAGGGTCTATATCGTACAAGTCTTCTTCTCCTAAAATGTTATAATACCAAGGCCGCTTTTCCTCCATCACTATTTTGGGAGGATCGAGTTCCAACTCCTTTTCGCTCTCTTCCGATATGAAACTCGATGTCATGATGTCATCTTCGACCGTCTTCTTGATGCCTGCGAAACCTATTCGTTCGTTGACAGTATTTTGAATTTCGCCGTGGCAAATTAGTTTCAAGAAACTGGCGCTTAAAGGTAAATCGACCAGACGGTTGTCTTGAAGCACCTGTAAGTACAAATAATTGAGTTATTCTATTGCCGTCGGCCATGTGTTTCGTTTTTAAAGTAACTGGGTAAAGTAGATATTAAAAATGTAAATCCGAAATTCACAATTTCGGCGAGACCAAAGATCAAAGTGTAAATGGTAACAGCTTTAATATTATTATTTATTCATCTTTTAAGACATATATAGGACAAGTCAAACTTAAAATACAGGTCAGTATTCCTTATGATACTTGGAAAATCATTGTATTGTCGTAGACTATCCTATAGTATGCTTCGGTCACCTAAGCATGTTCTTATGGCTGTGGTTCTGTAGCAGAGGTTGTTCCTGGTGTTGTATATATGGATATCATTGGTAGTAGTCAGTTGTAGGGATGAGTGTACATTATTCAGAGACAATATAAATAAAGATGGATGTCTAATATTTATAGAGGTACTGAATGTCTAGAATATTATTATTTGGACGATATAAAAGATCAGTAGCACAAAATGGAAGTTCAATTTTTTCTGGTAGCTCTATTCTGCAGAATTTGGGGTTTTAGTCTATTTTCGGAAGTTTTGCTCCAAATGGGAGTTAAATATGATAATGTGAATGTATTATTGAATGATGTAAGGTCTTTCTTAAGTCAGCTGAAAGGTAGTAAGTAGGCAACTCGTCTCAAAACTCCAACAGCAGGACTATTTTAGGCAGGACTAAGTAGAAGCAGTTATCAAGCTTCCCGTTCACGTTTAATTGTGGTTGACAGACGGTAAAATTAAAATAATTCAAACTAAAAAAAATTAGTTGTTTTATCTCAATTAACTACAAGCACATTTGAATTCCACCAGTTAACAAAGCAGTCAGAGTTTGAAGAAGCAATTTCAGTTCAATGAGTTTGTGCTGTAACAGCTAATGAGGTGTCATCAGCAAATAGACTTAAGATATAGAGTCGATTTAAAATACTTTAACAATTCATTGATAAACAACAGAAATATCAATGGTCCTAGCAAAGGCCACTAAGGCACTTCTAGGCTGACGTCATGTAAAACAAGCATTGAATCTTGAATTTCATGTACACCTGTCCTAGGCGATAAAAAATCTATGAAACACCTGAAAAATATTTCCCTAAAAATTGTTTAATGACACTTAGAACAATATCTTTAAATTGAGATTTACCATACCTTCGCTAAAAATATTCCAAGGAAGTAGAAATACTTGACGGCTTTATCACAAACTTCAGAATGTTGAGGTAAAGGAGCTGGGAAGAGACCAGCAGCCCTTCGGACGTAGTATCCCGGCGGTTTCATGCCCTCCCCCAGATCAATAGGTTCATTCAGACTTATGGCTTCGTCGTCGCATATCCACATACTCAAATCGCGCCTTTGGATTTCAGCTGCAACCAGGGCATAGAATTCAAGAGTCGGACCTAGACCGGTGCCTTCTTCCTCGGCGAACTCTACCTCCAGAATGCTCTTCCTGTTGGCGTGCACCTTCATGACTTGAATGGCCCAATCGAGCAGGTGTTCTCCTCTAGGCACTTTGACCCTCTCGTGCTTCAACCTGCCGACTCTGAACTCATGAGGATCGTCCCTCCTTGGCGACAAGCCAGGAGTTCTTTGTCTCTCCATGGTAACATCTCTTTGGGTTTGCAGCCAAACGATGCTACGGGAAGCACCGAAGGCCGTACAGTTGAAGTACAACTGGCGAGTTTCGAACGGAAATAAGAATGGACATGAATGGTTGAGTTCTTCACACCTAAAAAAAAAACGCATTTTTATAGATTTTTGTTATCAAAAGTTAAATATTTTTAGGTAAAAAATTCGTTCAGCATAGAACTACTTACCATGCCGGTAAACTTGAGCTGGACAGTACCAACGGATCTTGAATCTGTTGCAGTAACTTATTTGTTATTTTCTTGCTCGAATATTCTTCTGGAGATATATCCGAATTTTCAAATATTTTCAGATCGTTTTCTCTTGAAGTCGTTATTACAAATAAGTGTCTCAGCAACTGTAAAACGTCTTCCACAGTGCAATTTGAAACCGAGGGAGTTCCAGGTATTGGAGTACTTGGCGATAGTGTAGTACCAGCTATAGAACTGCTTCCACTTCGAGAAAACTGTGTAGCCACAGGAGTAGCACGACCGTCTTCGGTATCGTAGCTGTTGTCATCTTTTAGCTCTCTATAGATTATCCTAAAAAAAAATTTAATGTGTAAATATCTTTCTTTCTTCTAAGTTCTTACTCCGATTTTACTTACAAATAAGTGGGCTCCCAGATTCTCCTGACTTTTTCTTGTTTGGAATTAAACTCTGTCATTTGCATCAGCTCTTGTATGGCTCTAAAAATGGTCCAGGAACGATCTGTCAGTTCTATTTCAACGTCGGCAATGCCCGGCATGTTGGGTCCTTTCAGAACCAACTGCAATTTTGGTTGCGGCAGAAGTTCATGTTCTGAAATTGATGATGTCTCAGTCTGACCGGGTGCTGGTACTTCAAGATCTATAATAAAAAAGGGGATTATTTTTAAAATCAACTGAATTAATAATTTTTAAAAAAGAACCAATCAAAAGTAAAACCTCACATGGTAATGACATTGTATAAAGAACTATAGTAGTATAATCGCAATGTAAAAAATATTGGAGGCAATCCCACCTGACACTTATTGGTACAATAATTTAAGTACATCAGCTGTAATCTGTAACAATTCTATCAAACTGTCAGTATATTTTTTTTAGTTACCGAGATTAAATATAATTAAAAATGGGTGATTCTTGTAAAGAATCGATAAATAATAACGTTCCACAAGATATTCGTCTATATGTATAAATATATCGTAAAATTTAAAATCAATCTAAATATCATTATTAAAAAGAAAGTATTGTTTATCTCATTAACGCAAATATAGCATACTCACTTCACATGCGAAGGGTCCTTCATTCCAACCCGGGATGAAGACCTTTTGAAGTTTATTTAATAAATTATTATACATGGATATTAGATATTAGCTTATCTACGCACAGACTACAAAACGAAAAAGTATGTCATTGCGTTCAACTGAACAAATATATTTCATATCCATTCTAGCGAACGAGAACACTGCAAAAAATAAAATCCACCAATCACAGTTCATGTTTTCGAAATCCAACTACTATTATTCTTAAAATTTTAAATAAATGTCAGGCGAATTGTCATTATATTTTTTCTTCTTTTAGTTATCGAGATTAAATATACATTTAAATGAGTTATTTTTGTGTAAAATCGATAAATAATAGCATTTTTATTTGGACAATATTTAAAAAAAAAAAAAAAAAAAAAATTCTAATCAAGCTACTCGTATATGAAACTATTTTATATACGAGTATTAAAACCATAATTCTAAAAGAAGCTGTGGACGCGAGGACAGAGCGCTTGCCTTCCAGATAAAATCTCGACTGGGGACTAATAAAAATCAGTATAATTAATAAATTATTTTAAAATTAGTAATTTTGTCTTAATAACCTAAAATATTCTTTTTTAATTTTATAGATCTTCGTTAGTGAGTTGTAGAAAAAATATACTATACAATTCTAATTTATTGTCCATATCCACTCTTGTTGCACAAACTACTATATCTTAATAATCTCCAAATTGTTGTGATCAAACTTCATCTTCGTGGGATTTGGCCATTTTTTTTGCCAAACTACTATTTTAATTAACAACAAGAACTGTTTTGTATAAATCAAATTGATTTAAAAAGGAAACTTAAAATATTTGATAAATTCTTTGTATTTATAAGAGAAATATACCGAAAATAACAAGAATCTGATTTATTTTTTTTATTTGAATATATAACATGAACTTATTAAACTTTTCTTTAATCTAAATTAAAAAGAGCAAATTAAAATTACATTATTTTTACTGAAAACTATTAGGTACAGGGTTAATTATTGTAAATTACCTACCCTGTATCATATTAATATTGTATACTCATATAAAAAAGTTTTTTCCTACGACCACTTAGGAAAGTAACACATATCACACTATAAAGTCCTATGGAAAGTGCCCTATATCACACGCGTATGAATAAGAATTTACTTTCCACCCGTGTACGAATATGCTACTTTCCGCAGCATCTGTCACAAAATGTAAAATGCATCATTTCTATTTTGATCTATTATGTCCATATTAATACTAAAATCGATATGATTGTTAAATTATTGAAATTGTTGTAAATTAGATCCTAGATATTTATCTTTAACAATTATTATTAAAATAATTTTAAAATAACTAAGATATGTTTGCTTTTTATTCTGGTTAAATACATAACCGATTAGATCATTCAATTATCGTAAGCCCTATTAGCTCAGATGGTTAGAGCGTCAACTTTGCATTTGAGACCTGTCGAGCGACCGCGTTCAAATCCTGGCGGTGGCAGAGTTTTATTTTGTTTCTTTATTTTTTTTTATTTGTTTAGAAAATATGAAAACTGAATAAATACGATTGTTGATTATTTTTTTAAATACATTTTAATTATTATAATAATAACAACAACCTGGTTTTACATTTTTTGATGAAATTATTTTGTGGTCGCAGGAAAATATTGTACATTACTTGTGGGAAAAGTGATTTACCACACTTGTAATGTAATATACTATAAATAAAAATTATGTCGCAGTGACTGATTTTTTTTTAAATGTCATCAAAAATACAGTGGGCAGATCAGTGGCGTGCAGATTTCACTGGACACAAAATAAATATTTTTTAAATGCAATATCCTATATATTTTATTTAATTTTAGGAATGATCGTTTTTCTTGATTTCAAAAATATACCATATGTTGCCCATATCTTATACCGTTTTCGATTAATTAAATGTAGAATATCTTAGTTTAGGTAAAAATTTAAACTTTTTCTTTCTCAATGTAAAATATTTTAATTATTTTATTAAATAAATGTCACTTATTAAACATAATAGTAACTTGCTTAATTAAGATAGTCGACGTTTAATTAATTGAGAACGGCAGGTGTAAGATAGGAGTAACATAAAATAAATTTATTAACATACCATTTAAAAAATTTATAATTATTTGTTGTATTCCGTGAAATGAAAATCAAAATAAAAAAATTCACACTTTTTTTATGCAATAATAACGATTATAAAAGTGCCTAATTTATAATGATTAACCCTGTATATAAATTTGTTGAAATAAATTTCATATGTAAATAGTGCACTTTTACTTCTCCCGTTGCTACAAAGAAAAATTTAAAAATATCACATTATGTAGGCTTCTAAGATTTGATGGTAAACATTGATTCTAAATAGGTATTGCAAGTAACATTGTTTTCCTGGTTTTTAAAATAATTTGGCTACTACTACTTTATACTTTAACCAAATTCATATTTTTTTTGGAAACACCGTACCTATATTTATACAGTATTAAGAACTTCACCTACCAGTCACTTCTGCTCAATCAAAGTAGATATCAAACTAATATATTTCTTTGTCTTCTGTCAAAACATAATTAGGTAAATTGCGATTTGATGGTTAAAAATTTAAATAATTTATTCAAACAGATATTAGTTTCACGTACATTATTATTTGTATACTTACACTTGGATCTTTAACTACGGAGCGATTCTATGTGCTTGTTTTCACCTTAATTTGTTATACTAAATGGTTTTTGAGACAACGGATTGAATTGAGGAGAAATATGTGCAATACCGAGCTCAACTAAACTAATCCAATAACAACAAAAAATAAACAAGACTAATTATGAACGAATGAGAATAACATTTTTTATAATCTAAAATCAAAACCGATCGGCAAACATTTCAGTTCGACGTTCAAGGTAGCCTGATTCAAGACAAGCGATTTTCGACAGTATCCAAACATGCTGTCGCCCTTTATTAGCTGTATCCATTTTGCTCCAATGATATTTCCATAATATATTACTATTATTACTAGTTCTTTATGCAACGATAAGTACAATATATTAAAAAAAAAAAAAAAAAAAATGGTAACCTACCTGTTGTTTGGTTGACATTTGTTCTACCAGGTCTGGGATCAAACGCCGGAATTAAAGCAGAAAATTGCCTCTTTAACACAAATTCGTCGTCCCATGATCGCCTCTTGGTCGGCCTAGCCTCAAAAGTTTCTTCCTCCATAAACGACAGCAGATTTCTCGACACCATCACTTCCTCGTAATCAGCGTCATCTTCATTTTCATCATCATCGTTGTCGTCGTCTTCGCCCATCTCTTCGTCGTCGTCTAATTCCGCCAGTAATGTCGGAGCTCTGCAGGATTCTAAGAAGTCTTCTAGGGATACCTATCACAAATGACGTTAATTAAAAAATAAAATATATACAGTGAAAAATCATTGTACCAATTCGGTAAATTTTATTTAGTTTATATCTAGACGAGAGCAATAAGAAGCCTAACCTGTTCACTGTCACTACTAGTAGATGTCAAACTCATAGTAAATGCCTGACTCAAGCCTTGCACTGCTCCGGCGGTTGTCGAAATCCCTCCGGACTGGTTCCCAGGATTATTACTGGACGACAAACTGGGATAACTCTGTGCGGTGCTCAATAAGCCACTGGGAAAATTGCTGGATAACGCCAAACGGACTAGACTGGACACGGAATTGGGAGCTCGTGGGAACAATGAGCTGTTGTTTTGGTTGTTCTGCGCGTTCGTGTTTTGCGTATTGTTTGTATTGGTATTCGAAGTGTTGGACGCTGTCACCGAAGCGAGGGTACGTCGACGAGCCAGAGCTGCGAACGTCTCCAACAGACCTGTGAAATTCAACACTTTTTTTTAATTAGTGTTGCATGTTTGTTAATCTGATAGTTAGATTGTCATTGTTCTAGAACAGATAAACATACATTCTGTAGAAAGTGTAAGCACATACTCATTTATAAGACTCAATGTGGCGACTTAGTGATGACGCACCTATTGTGAAGGAAGACCCAAAGTTAAGTTCGGTTAGTTTGATTATGGTCAAAATAAAGGGGACTAATTACTAAAAGCGATATGAACTACTCAAAAACAAAGTTTATGATTTATCTGGGATATGTACAAAAAATTAGTACCAGTATTGGTAAGAAAAACGTTATTTGTAGGCACTGTAAATACATTTTTTTACAGATGTAAAAATGTGTTCAGAATGAAAGTGTAGATTATTGTAATAACGTTTCGTTTTTATACATAGCGAGAGATAATTTGTTGTTAAAGTTTATGTAATAAAAAAGCTTAAAAGAATATGACTGGGCCAGAATTTCAAAGATTGGAATGGTTGGTACATACAGTAGGATGAACAATAAGCTAATATCAAAGAAGGCAGTGGAAGTGAACTGATAGAAGACCAAGTGAGCCTGATTAGGTAGAAAACAATAATTATTGAACAATGGGTATTGGAGGTTGGGAAGATAAATAAAAGAGTCGAATGGAAGAAAATAGCTTTAAGGTCAGTCTTTCTACCTTCAGATAACTAACTAGCTAATATCTTTAAGTTACTATCTGACACAAATTAAACAAAATTGCCGATTTCCGGTTTAACTGTAAATGCCATTAAATTTTATTTTAATAATGAATATCCTTGTATATTTTGTTTTTTGGAAACTACGGTTCAAATTACATATTACAGTGCTGTCAATTTTTATCCCAATTTCCTTATTTTTTTTTTAAATAACTGGAAACAAACTATTTTACTAAATGCGTTAAAAATAAATCCTTAATATAAAAATAAATTTCTAAATAATGTTTTTACAAAAATCTCACTTTTTTTTTTAAATTTCACCTACTGAGGGCCATTTTGGCATTGGATGGAAAATTTTATTACCAATCTGACAACATGAACTATGTACCACTTAGAACATTATTTTCCAGTCCATGGTCTTCAACCTTAACTAAAAATGTTTATACAAAAAAATAATGGAGAAAAATAAAAAATTGGCAAAACTCACATATGTAAATTGAACATTAGATTCTAAAAACCAAAATTAAAAATTAATGGCATTTCCGGTAAGTATAAGTGTCAATTCGAAATTACGATTAGTACGGTTGTCTCAAATTTCATCCAAATCGCTTCTTAAATAAAAAACAAGGCCGTTGTCACCTATTTATCTATTAGTTAAGTACAACGACGTAGTTCTTAAATTATTATGAGAGTATGGAAGAGCCTTGTTACAAGGATTGTGTATGGTTTTAATTTCGGAATTGACCTAACATAAGGCTCTAGAACGCACAAAAGACTTTCAAAATTACGTTAAGGACGTATATTTGCATTCTTGATGCTAGTTATTATCAATTTAATGTCTCTCGTTGCAACTATCTTAGTTGAAGTCGATTTGCAGGAAAGTACACAATTTAGTTTGAAGTGTGATGGCACTATAAAGCAAGCGTCGTAGCCGTAATTACCGATTTATTCATAAAACATGCGCAAACCATCCCCACTCAAATTAGCAGCCATCTTACTCTTTTTAATGCAGCAGCCGATGCGACAGTTCTGTCTGCCTGATATAAAACGCAATCTGAATGTTTGCAATAAATAAGGGCTTAATTATGAATGAATGGATTAACAGTATAGAAGTTTTTCGTCTTTAGTTAAGTACTTTAACAGGAAGTTCAAATTATCTTTCAAATAAAACTAAATTATCTAGAAGAGAAAAGATTACTTTTTAAGTTATTTGGGAGATACAAATTACCAGAATCTTTATCTAAAGGTGAAAAGACCGACATTTAAAAGCAAAGAACCCAGTGTTATAGTACCAAAAGAATTATTTTTTTACTCAACTAACATTTGTTGTAATTAGTTGAACAAATATAATCCACATTCAACATTATCTCATAGACAATTTTTATACTGTAATTTAAACGTTAATAATTATTAAGGATAAAATGATACGTCTAAAAAATTACCTGCTGTAGTGGTCGGTTCAATCTGGCTATTGGACTCTGTAGTCAAATTGGGTACACTGACACTCATCGGATTCGTCACGACAATCGTATTATTACTACTGTTTTTAGCATTATTCGTATTTGTCACAGCCTCATCTTTATCACTACTACAATTGCCGCTTTTCACCGCATCAGTTTTCCGCCTCGAAGACGGTTTCTCTTCGTCCGGTTCGGAATTTCCAGAAACGGAGATTCGCACACTCGACAACGCGCCGATTTGACTACTTTGACCGAGGTTGAGCGATTGCAACAGCTCCGCCGATAGGAAATTGTTGGTGTTGTTTCTGAGCATGTCTGAACCCTCGCGGAACTTGTCCAAAGCCTCGACCGCTTCGACGAAACTCTGTGCAGCGGCCGCAGCTTGGGAATTACTGATCTTTGAGGTGCGATTCGACTTGTTCATGTTGCTGTTGCCGGACGACTTCTGGGAATCGCTACATGGCGGCGGGCCGGTATCGCACAAAGCCAAACTTTCGACGATCGTCGCCAAATCTGTAGAATTATTAATACTAGAGAGATCATTGTGGGGATCGCGTAATGGATGTACGACCACCGATAATTCGCTTTCGTGTGAAGCTGCTTGGGATTCGCTGGTGACAGCCACCAGTGCTTCGTTTCTCGCTACCGACAGCACGCTTTCGGCTATTGTCTCGGCCGCTTGTTTTGCCGCTAAGTTATCCGCCGATGCAGCTTGTTCTGTTGAAGCAACTGAAGTTTTGACGTCTGTAGCTTCGGGTAGACTAGGTGTTGAACTGCTTTTCCTGCTAGTCAGGACGCTTTGTTTGTCCTTATCGTTCTTCTGCTTGTTGCTTGCTGTTTGTTTGGAGGAGGATGCTACGGCCGCTTCGACGTCATATCCCGGTGCTAATTTGAGGTCGTATTTTCCTTCAGCGCCCATTCTGTACGAGTTGGAACCGCCATGATCCCAGGTAACATCTATCCAACCGCTATGGAGTTCTCCGGTAACTGTACCTTTATAATAAGAATATTAATTTGAAAAGAGAGGTCAATGTAAAATAAGAGTTTGAATGATTTTTAATGTGTTATTAATAGAGAAATCTCCTATGAAAAGGAAATATATAAATAATAAAAATATCGAAAATACATTACAAAAGAAACACACTAGCACATTTTTAACTATTTATAGTATATTACATAACAAGAGTTGTAACGAAGCCGCGCAGCGGCGAGTGCGTAATATTCACGAGTGCGTAATGTACTATACTTTTTCTACGTCCACTTATTTTCTTCTATTAAATAAAGGACATATGTTTGTGTCGCCAATCCATAAATTTTCTATAGGTAATTTCGTACCTTTATTTGGATTTTAGCGATAACAAATTATTTGTGGCAGCTTACTAGGTATGTAGGTTTACTTTCATTTTTAAATTTGAGATAATCATATATTTATAAAGATATGAAAACTCTTTTGTCTTATTATGGATTTTCTGACACAATGAGACTGAAAGAATTTGATGGGAATCGACTTATTTCTAGCTAAAATATCTTCACGGCAAGAGTACTACAAAATATTTTTATATATAGATATATGATAAATTCAAATTCAAAAATGAAAGTAAAAGCGCCCGTTGAAGAAGAAAGTCAGGTATATAAAACTTTCAAATATTTTGGGTCTACTTTAAAATGTGGCAATCACTTTATGATATGTATACCTCTTTTCATAATTAACATTTAATTCAAACAAATCACAAATCAAAACAAGTACCTAATCTAAAAAGCTTTTTAATTATACTCTTTTTGCATTATTACTATTTAATGGTTCTAATAAAATAATCAGTTACAATCACTATAATTAGACAGATAAGCCAATCATGTTCCCAGAAATTACACCGTTATATGTATTGGTATTAGGCCCTTCATGACTGTCGTCAATTGCCATTTATCAAATTAGAAACGTAATGTTTTAAAGTTTAAAATACCACGATTAAAATATATATTTTTTCTAAATAATAAAACAAGAAAGAATAAATTACATATATTTATATGTATTATTTTTCATGAAAAAAACAAAACGATTCAAACCCAAGTAAAAAAACCTCGTTTATCATAAAATAAGTAACTTACCTTCACCAGGCGAGTTCCCATCTTGATCTCTCCACTTCCAGTCGACCCCTCTGACGACTCTAGCGCCGACCGTCATGTGTTTCAGCAACTGCGATTTGACCAATCTCCTTTGCTTCCTCATGTGAGCCTCCTGTTCTTTGTGCGCCTTTCCCATATCTTCACAGACTCCAATCACTTGGCCATAAATTTCGAAACCAGACAAACTCAAATAATGCGTCTGGCCGGAAGCGTTCTTACCGGCTTGCTGGATCCTAACGTGTCTCCAACCTTGGTTCTCCTCTTGTGATACTTCGATGGGCCAAGTACCTGTGCTGCCTGGGTCGTTGAGGGACATATCGTGCGTGTGCGTATAGAGCGTGGTCCAAGTGTTACCGTCTCGCGACATCTGGAAATGCCAATTCCTCAACGCGGATCTTCCATAACCTCTGGCGTGTCTCAAGGTGTAAGCGCTTGGAATCATATAAACTCCTAGATCGATGCTGAACCAGGCACGTTTGTCGTCGTTGGTGTGACAATTTAAGGCCGATGAGTCTCTCGAAAGAATGTCTTCTACTCTACCATATGGTAGATTGCGAGAATCCGAACTCGTCACGGTCACCAAACCGTACTGGCCGGGATTAACCCATTCGGAGCAGGTTTTTCCATTCGTACCAATGAAGTAAATTAAACCGTTCTCGTCGAAGTCGTGGGTGTGCTTGAACGATTGAAATTTCGGTTCGCGCAATTTTTTCAAAAACTGGAACGTACTTCTGTCGTAATCATACCACTGTTTCGCCACCATTTTCAATAAATATCTTTCCAACTGAGCTACGGTCGCTAGAGGTTCCATTTTTAGACTTCTTCCCGATCTGTCGATTAGGGTGCTTTCGCCTGTAGCTTTTTCCAATCTGAATCTCAACCGTCTGGTGAGGATTTGAAGACCGTAACCCGAACCAGGGGTATCGTACAGATATACTGGTAATTTCTCAATACTTTCAAGAACAGCGATCAACTTGTGTACCAGAATTAAACTAGGAGATTTATCATCGATGGTCTTATTTTTGAAACATTGTTTAAACACCTGGACTCTTTGTTTTTGGAATTTGTTCATCTTGCTCGATTTTAGGCCTTGTTCCCAATAACTTGTGGACAAAAGCGATAATAACGCTTGAACCAAACCGGAGCTGTGTAGTTCATAAGCAGATACAACACCATCTTCTTTTAATACTTCAGTCAATTCGTCTAGAGCATTATGAAGTATTTCCTTCCATGAATTGCCGCCTTCTCTGTTGTTGCCATACGAGCATTGTTTCTGACAAGCACGTTCTATTTGTGCCACGATATTGCCTAATTTGGCAACGATGCCTCTGGGTTGAGCCTGGGCCACTCTGAAATATTGCTCGTAGATTTGGTGAGCTAGATATTTGACTTTCATTTTGGTTGCCTCTAGTTTGGAACGCATGCGTTTGCCCTTTTTATTGATCCATCCCGCAGAAAATTCAGGACCTTTAAACGATATTTATTACTAATACAAGTGCATTTTAGATGTTTAAAATATAGCACTATTTTAAGACTTAACAGCCGGTTGCAACAACGTTCATTAAAATGTCTGGGTTCCATAAACTTTGACAGAGCTCGAGAATGTGATGCTCAAATTACACAGTCTAATATTCAAGTTATGAGATCAGTATATACAGATTTAATAAGCGTTACTGCAACTGGGTGATAAACTTTTAAGATTTTAAATAGGTTCAACATCCAAGGAATCAACAAGATATGCACATTTTTCAGACCAGCGCAGCTCTCGTAATTTTGAAATGAGACGATAAAATGATGTTATTTTACCTAAGTAAGTTTCGGCAATGAACGAATGTTTGGTTCCTCTATTGGATTCGAAAATGAATCCTGGCAGATCCTCTCTCAGGATGGTGGTTTGTTGTTGTCCGTCGGAGTTGTGGATGTGGATTTCGGCTTCCTTTCTTGAAGTCAGCGACCAGTTTCCTACTACCAGCCTTGTGGGACCGGGTTTCGATAGAATCGGGGTAGAATTGTTGACACATCTGACAGCCGATCTTGCACGTTGTAATTTTTCCAAAAACTCTCCTCGATTTTCTGATAAATTAAATAATAAGCATATCGGTAATGCTGGAATACATGATACCCCAACAAAAACTTCCAAGTCAGAATACACTCTAAACGAATAGATATTTTAATTTTGTAAAAGCCAGACTGTATATCAAAAAAGGGGTTTAGCTTTGAGTGTTAGATAATAGAGCACTTTGCTCCAAATACATTTTTCGATATGTGATTTATGTGAAACAAAAGTGATAGAAGTTGATTCTTTCAACTACAGTGGTTGATAGAAAGTATGTTAAATTTAAATTCACCTGTTACCACTAATACTTTTATTGCTGAAGTTCAGAAAAATATGATTTTGTACATCAAATGGATAATAACTTACTCACTACAACATCTGTTAATGTTTGTTAGAAAACTAATCATATAGCCGTTTAACTGCTAAAATTCTTGTGTTAGAACATTAAAGTGCCGGTATGGCTGCCACTTGCTTGGGTTTTCCAGAAACACGAGAAGGTGTTGCTTCAGTGAGGTGAGAATTTTTTTTAGCGGTGGATGGAGATAGCTGATAGTGTTGTTTATAGCATAAGTAGAAGTTGGAAAGGCCTTTGCCAGTTCTCCCACTTTATACACATAAACTGACAGGTTTGCGGCGGATCTCACCGAAGTGGACGCAATACATTGACGTACAAAATTATTTTATAGATGTTAATAACAATTTCGAGTAAATTGTTTAATAAATAGTGAATAGGTGTTGAAATTTTGTAAAATTATGATTTGAATATTATAATACATGTTTAATAATTATTTATAGTCCATAAATACATGCGATTCTTCAGTTTCTCCAGTTCCGCCAGTAACAATTTAAAATTAATTATTCTATGAAACCTCACTGGCAGGTAAACATTACTGCGAAATTCTCGAAACCGTCCGACGTAGTTTGACGTTTACCCCCTCTTTACCTACCAAAAGCCTTTCCAATTTCTACTTGCGTTATACGTTACTATTCTCGTTTGTTAGTTTTGACCAATCATTGGCTAGTCGGGACCTCACGTGAGGTTGTCTATTGGTTGTTAAAGGTTAGTTCTTTCGCAGTGAGAAAGGTTGACGTAATCACCCTCACAACAATCTAGAACGGTTAGAGACGGCAAAAAATGGTAAAACAAACAAATGGCTTGGACAAAAATGTTGAAGTATTTCAACAGTAACACATGCACACCTTAATTTTATATATTGTAGTTAACTCAATGAATGCGTATATAGAGTAAGAATAAGATAGAGAAAATAAGTTGTTTGCGATAATGGAAAAGGTGTATTACATTTTTTATAGAACGAAATTTACTTACTTAAAAATCAATTTTCTTTCTCATAAACCAAATTTCAATATCGTTTCTATATTCAAATACTTTTATATTCAAAAATAAAGCCCTATTTATGCTCTATAACTGGATTTCATAAAATTCAAATATATTTATTTGTTTAGAGATATCAGGCCTGAGAGTTTTTATTGGAACACCCTGTATATTTCGATCAATTGAAAAATAACATCTACTTAAGAATTTTTATAATTAAAATTGAAAACACCATATCTCAAAGTCGCAACATATTTATTGCACTGTTAATTTAAAATCAAAAACACAATTTCTGTTAAGTGCAGTCATTTGCTGCGTTCAAATGTTTGTTATGATTGAAATGGAAGGATTAACTTCTTGAACGTTAGGTTCCAGAGAAAGACGAACAACTACTAGACTAATTGTGTTTACAAAAATCGAATTGCAAACATTCACGATGTTATCCATGTAGTTTATGGTTATAATTCGGCTCTAAAATGCACAAAAGGGTTTCAAAATTACATTAAGTATATTTGTATTCCAAATGCCCCAGTTATTATTAGTTTAATGTATTTTTCTGATTGCAACTATTATAAGGTGATTTCCAGAAAAGTAAACAATTTAATTTGTAACAGCAGCATAAAGCAAGCGTCGTAGGCGCAAGCTCGCTACTTAGGTAAACAAACTCGCACAAACCATCTCCACCCAAATTGGCAGCCATCTCGTTCTTTCTAATGCAATAAATAAGGGCTTTATAATTGTGAATGAATGGATTAGTCTAGTAGTTTTTCGTCGTTGGTTCTAGTTGAGAAAACAACGTTTTTATAATTTATATATTGTTAAATTTTTCTTTAGAAACCATAGTATAGAATTTTCTATCTCTTCTTTGCCTTGTTCATAACTTGGCTGCTATATTTTCTAATTTATGTTTGTTCCCATTTAAGAATCGCTAATTTTGCTAGTGCTACTTTTATGCTTGGATTGAGCCCAGCATACAAACATTGCCTAAAATCTAATAGGCCTTTCAGCCTGACATCCATATTCACAAAGCATTTTTAAATAGTTACATATGTATAAAACCTTAAAAATAGAGCCATCAACTTCAATTAAAAAAAAATAAGAGTTAGACGATGGCATGATTTTTGAATAATACTCTAAATCGATACTGTGTGATTAGTAAAATTCCGCAAATCACTAAAAAATTCAATAATCAAAAATTAAAGAAAGTGAGAAAAATCAGTTGAGATACGAAAAACTGAAATACAATTTTTGGAAATATGAAAATAAATAATCTCCAATTATCTCTACGAAATTATGAAAAAAATACACCCAATTGTTACTTGCTATTTTTCAGGAAAATATTTTAAAATCAATAGAAAAAGGTGTAAAGGTGGTCAGTTCATCAAGATTTAAGTAATTAAAAAATAGTTCGTGAAATATAGCTCACCTCTACTGCACATTCATTATAATGGCAGTTTTATATTTAAGGATTTACATGTGGTTAAATTTAAAGATACTTTGTGAATTGGATATGAAACTAGTTGCGTTACCACCAATCTCAACGATATTTGCATTTTCTAAACATACCAATTATTACTTTATGCAATTTACATGGTAACGTTTGAGATATGGATGTATGATTCATACAATTAGTAAAATAATTTTAATTGATAGTGTTAAAATCGATCTGGATTTTTTTTTTAATTTTGACAACAGCCAATGTTCTTTTTTGGTGATTTTTTTTTAAACTTTCCAATTTACGATTTTGCGTTTGTCGCTAAAAGTTGGTTGTTGGCTTAAAGGATTTTGTGTTGGCAGTTTTCAGCTTTTTTTGATATTATAGGTAAGAGTTGAAGATATATGGATATTAAAATAAATATTGATGACACTTTCGAGACTTAAGTGACTACTACTATAACAGAAAAAAAATTATACAGGGTGTCCTAGAACTCCTCTGTCAAACGAAAACCCCTTGATTTTATGTCGATTTAACCTAAATTACCTTAATCCGAACATGCTAGAGCTCTTTGAAGTTGGCGCCTTTAAGTCAATTCTTTCAACATATTTGAAATGACCTCAAATGTTCAAACTTTGCACATTGACTAAGATTTTAATGAACAATCGGTCGCTGTAAATTTAATTTTCAATTGCAATCACAAGGGACATTTTCAATTATATTTTTTTTTACCTTTTTAACATTTTTTTTTTATGTAATATTCGTAAACTGTAAGGTATCTTCAAACAAAAATGTACTCTTGTTTAAAATCGCTGATTCAGTTTTCGAGAAAATCTAATTTGTTACAATACCAAGTTGGCTTTGGCAAAAGAACAAATTTGACAGATGTAGACCGGAAATAGTTTTAAAGTCTAATAATCAGTATTATAGAGATATTGCAAATTTCTATAACGTCAGCTACTAATGGTGACAACGTAATTAGAGACAAATAAATTCCATGCTAAAATAAGACTTATTGCAAACATGAAATTTTGACATTAGAATTATTATTGTCCTTATACATATTTCTAACCTCATTTTAAAAATTTTAAATTACAATTCATCTTTTTTGTTATCTATAGCAATACATATTATTGAAGAGGCATTAGAAACTATCATTTTACAAGATCTAGATTACGATGATAATAAATATTTAAAATTAAAAAACTTCGAACTGATACAAATTTCGCCGAGCGTATCCGAAAGCTATATAGTCGCCACTATCTGCTGCCCTTAAACAGGCACAATCTTTAATAAAGTCAGTTCTAGAACATAAACGATCTGCGCATGCTCAAATGTAAAAATAAGAGCGGCGCTAATAGTGACTGACCTTAAGTAAACTTGAAATATCTCTCTATTAGTTTTGTAAAGGTTAGTCTGACAAAATTGACTTGGAATTCTATGAAGCATTTTTGGATTAAGGTAGTTTAGGTTAAATCGACATAAAGTCAAGACTAATATCTGGGGTTTCTGTTTGACAGGAGAACTTTGAGAGACCTTGTATAATTATGGAAAACGAGTTTATTACAAGTTTATAAAAACTATTGAAAGCCAGTAGAACTGCTCATTTAATCATTAGACATGGTTACAATTTTTAGAGTTTGGTTTTCCCAAAGATAATGATATGTTTTTTCTAGCATATTTATTAGTAGATTAAAGCAGAATATCAAACTATTAATTACATTTTTTACAAAATATGTGTTGAAATAATTCACTATTTTGAATCACAATCACTTGGAAACTTGTCATTAAAAAAAAATCCTGGATCAACTTTAATATTTAGTATTTATTTTAATGTATTAAAAATAAAATTTGTATAAGCTGTAAGCTCTGTAAATTTCTTAATCTTGTGAATGGACAACACAATGTATTTTTAATATAAGATTAATATAAACATGAATTGTGATCTTTGAAATAACATTCGGACTAACCTTTTTTTATAATAATGCATTAATAAATATCTCTATGGAAAGAACAAAAGCGACTTGCAACTAACTACAGCAAGCTCCCAAAAAATAATAACTCATTATAAACAAAAAAAAAAAAAATTCAAAGGGCGAAGCTCTCAAGAACAAGCAAGCCAATCGTAATAATTAGAAATAATATAGAGACGATCTTACCTTCGGTTGTAAGGGAATCCGCAGCTCGACCCTTCCCTAAATTCGGACAAATAAATCAACATCACTGTTACCACATAACAAAAATAAAAAAAAACAGTATACCGAGCTACGAAGTATCAATTACAAATAGGTAAGGGTGTTCAGAAATACCGTTAGAATAATTTCAGAGGTGGATTCTACATAAGAAAACATAAAAATTGTTTCATATGAACTTGGGTTCCGAAATGCAGTTTTCAAATTATTAAAAAAAAAAAAATTTCAGTGTTTTATAAACATCTAAAATACAATATAAGGTGCTAATTTAGCTTTAATTAGATTAAAATTATGAACCTTAATGTCGTTCCGGGGACAACGTACCAAATTATTGACAAAAACAAATGTGTGCCACTAAATTTTTTTTTTAGATTAAACAACACCAAAAACACATTATTTTTCTTATTGTGTTTCTAGTGAAAAAAAAAAAAAACAACTTACTGCATAAAAAGTTTGACATCTGTATCTAGAAAACTATGCATTTCCAAACCCAGATTTACATGATACATTTTATTTTCTCATGTAGAATCCCCATAAATTATTTGAACGATATTTCCAAACAGCCTGTATAGTTTATACAAAACAAATTATGTGATTATTATGTTATAACAGTCAGACATAGTTAGAATATTGTCAAGTCTAGTTCTAATTTTGTAAATTCATTATCAGCACTCTAAAGAAGTACAAGACCAGTCACCAGTTTTTAGCCATATGGACATTATAAACTGTTGTTATTCTCAGATTGGTGTATTAAGTTTGTTTTCAAGAATATATTTTTTATGCAATTTTTGGTAAAAACAACTTACAATTGGCCATTTGACCATTCACTAGTCAGTTTGGACTACTAAAGTCAGACATCATTTCTTGACCATTCTGACCTGACCAATCAGCTGATTAGTCATGACGGTCTGTTTTCTTTTTTGCCTGGTCCGACCGCTCACTTAGGGCATCCCTAGTGACTTCATTTGGTGACCTTTTTGCAATGAATTGCAAAGTTTAAGACATACAGTAATTTCTCTTGCGCTCAATTGAAATTGCAGCAATTTTACTTCCAAAATGGAAAATTGAAAACTGCAAAGCTGCTATTTGGTCGTTTATCGATTTACAGTAAAAATTATAGTATATAAAATAGAAGCTACTTAAAATTTTGAATAAAAAAAAAAAAAAATTTAAGCATGTTTTAGAATTTTTTTACTATCAATTTGTTTTGAATAAACTATGCACATACAGGGTTCTTTATGGAAGTATATAGTAACATCAAATAATTTTGTTATTATTAAAATAATTTCTATAATGAGAATTCTGTACAGATAGTGATAATTTTTGATAATATTGTAACGCGATATCTGCCTTTCAATTTAAATATAACATCGAAAAAATATCTACCAAAGTTGTCAGTAATATTTGTTATTATATTATACTATTTTTTGTTTTAACTAATAACACATTTTTCCATATTCTAATAATTTAGGTAGACACACTGTATCATTCCTAAAGTACGATTACCATTTTATGTTGCTGTTTTAAGATTTATTCTAACTTCATAAAATTTAATTTCAATTTAGTGATTGAAAATAGTTAAATTTTATTTTAAAGTACAGGGTATCTATAAAAATATTGCATTACTTTCAAGTTGATAGTTTGTATTTGGAGTAATTAATTGTTAATACTTAATAAATGGAAAATATAAACAATATTAACTGTATTAAATTCTTTGGAAGTCCACAAATAAATCACAAAATTGTCCCTACGAAATAATGAAAACTATTTTTGAACCCCCAAAGTGAAAACAAATTTAATGAAAACAGAATAAAATTATGTTCATGTGGGATACGAACTCGTCTATTTGTGTTCTGTACACACTGTCTTTGACCATTCTACCATCGGGACATAAATCTACGACATCCAAATTGCTAATTTAAATATAACATTTCGAATCCAACTAGGTGACAGAAAATTTCAAATTTTTCAACAAATTATTAATCAGCATCGTCTAGGGAAACAAGCTATATGTATGCAGACACTTCCCTAGGCCGTCTGTGTGTATTAATATAGCCCATGTCTTTCGTTGTTATAAATAAAGAAAAATTAATAGCAACGACGAACAACTACTAGACTAATTTTGTTTAAAAAAATTGAATTGCAAATTATTATGAGAGTATTGTTACAATGATTGTTTCTGGTTATAATTCGGTATTGACTAAATATAAGGCTCCCAAGCCCACAAAAGGCTTTTAAAATTATATTAGGGAAGCATATATTTGCACTGTTAATGCCAGTTATTATCCATTTATTGTATTTTTTCTCGTTGAAATTATTATAGTTGTATATTATTTTTCAGGAAAGCTCGCTAATCAGATAAATATACTCGCACAAACCATTCTATATTCAAATTAACAATTTGGATATGGAAGATTTATGTCCCAAATGGTTAAAGACAGTGTACGTAGATCTACTCCGCGGACATAATTTTTTTCATTTTTTCATTAAATTTGTATTCACTTTGAGGTTTCCAAAGTTATTTCGTAGGGGTAATTTATTCGGGGACTTCCAAAGAAATTAATACCTTTGTTTTCAGATCTATAATTGATAAGTTTCCGGAACTTCAAAACAGATTGTTCACTACATATTAATTCTTTTAAGGACCAAGCAAAATCGGGAGAATATCATAACAACTTGCAACATTGAAAAATAGGAAAATATAGGACAATTATTAATATGTAATATAAACACTAAATATAAGCTTTTTTTACAGACTCCAAGTAAATGCCACACAAATATAATCATGACGAGTTACACTTTCTTTAACATTTTGAGGCCCTTCTGAGCAGAAGAAACCAAAGAGATCGTAACGTTTTATTTAATATAATTTTTAGGCTGGTTGTTCCTACTTATTATTATCATCATCTCAAATTCGATTGTGTGTATCCTCTAGAGGAGCTAGGAATAATAATACATTCTTCCAACCACTCTTTAAAACAAATGATTATACTTCTCAATCTTTTATTCCTAGATTTATAAGATCTCGTAATAAATATAATTTATTATGTCTCTAATTTAATTTAGTAGACAACTTCGTATATTAATTATTAATTCGAGTATGAATCTCTATATTATTGTACTGTTTTAATGGGCTCTGACACGCAAATAAAAAAAAATAATAAATGTTCACATTTACTGGAAAATTACCACCGCTTTTGAAGAACGCATTATTTTCACCGACACCCTGTATATTTATAAAATTGAAAAAAAAAAAAAAAAAACTTGTATTAAAAATTTTGTTAACTACTTATTTTATCATATTTCGAATCAATAGTAATATTTGGTTTTGTTCAAAATTTTAATGATCAAAATGAAACTCTAGTATGACAGCGGTTATTACAACACAAACAAAAAAAATCTACGCATTAATTGTGTTAAAATGATTAATGTTAGCATTTAGTTTACCATTACCTTGACAAATTTTCAGCAAACTTCACTAATAACGAGAAAAGCGAAGGAGGCAAACAAGTTATAGCAAAAAAAAGTTAAGCGAAAATACGTTTAGTAATCTCTCATAAAAAAAAATAAAACGGTGCAGTTTTCGACAAAAATTAGTAACTATTCTGACCTGATGTATCAGCACCACCTTCTGGGGAACCGCTCGAGTACATGGTTGCTAGTTTTCCGTCTAATATGAATCTGAACCAGCCATTCGAGCCGTTAGACAGTTCTAGAGCGGCGGCGTCAGACCAAATATAAAGACAATCTCGACCTCGACAGATGGACCAATCGCGCCAGTGGTAAGCTTTACCGGGCAAAATTTCCTTTGCATCTTCTACTTGTACGGCATCAGATGTTTCTGAAATAAAGTGCAATTTGTTGTTATGGCCAATCTCATAATAGAAGAGTACTTTATTCTCAGTAATACCTATAAAATGTGTACATAGTCATTAGTATTTAAATCCTTAAATAGAATGCTGGTAAAATACATCACATTTTACATAGATACAACATATACAATTTAAAATAAAACGATTTTAAACAGTAATCAAATAAAAACATAAAAATACCACAAATATAAATATTGAAAATGTTTTACTCTTACAAAATAATCGTTAATGTTATATAGACACATGTATATTTTTAATTCACTGTTTAAACTTTTTCTGGTAGATTCCGGATTACACTTTTTTCAAAAAATCTGTTTGTTCAAAATTTAGAATAGAATGCGAATTATTATTTTTCTTTTTCAGGAATTTCTGAAATCGGAATTCCTGTAAACACAATTTCTTTCGGCCATTACCAATCAAAAATAAATTGAGGTAGAATTCAGTTCCATTCTGACTATAGTCTTAAACACAATATCTTCTGAGATGAAATGGAAATAATACCGCTAAATTTCATATTTATTATTATTATTATTATAATTTGATAAGAGCAGGGGCCATAAGACCCATAAGCCCAGTTTATAAATAAAAATATAATAATTACCTTCAGTTGTTGATTCGGCTTCTTCATTTTCTTGCGTTTCCGGTGGACCAGCAAGTGCTTGAACTTTAGTAAATATACCCAATCTCGCGAAATGATCCAAGAAAACTTCTTGTGATTTAATCATTAAATCTTGTATTATCAGTAAAACTACCGAATGACCGTCTTCGTCGTCCTGTAAAGAAAAAGGGCGTTATAACAACTAAAAATCGATGAAAATGTTTTAAATACCTCGTTATCCAACACGGTGGCGATCACCTCAACGATTTGTGTACCAAAATTCGGATTTGCCTCCAAAGCGCAAAGTTCTTCCAACAAATTCGGCTGTATGTAATGGACCATCTTCCTTATCAACCCCAAACTGGCCTTCCTCACGCTGGCCAACATCGTGGACTGCAGAGTGGTACAGAATACGGGCAACAGTCGTTGTAAATAAACTGGCGCCATTTCCGGATCGCCTCTCGGTTCTATGCTATCCTCACTCTCGGATTCAGATTTTCTATTACGCTCCTTATCGACCGGTATCATCCATTCGCCGGGGCTCTGCAGAATCGCCGCCACTTCACGGTGTCCTTCGTCGGCACGTTCTCTAGCCTTATCCAGTGGAGTTTTTCCGTCTTCGTCGCGTAAATCAGGGTTCGCGCCGTGCCGCAGCAAGACTTTAGCTATGGCGGGACGGCCGAAACACGCCGCGTAATGCAGGGACGAACTCCTTTGGCCCTTATTGACGTCGGCACCTTTCTCGCACAAATACTCCACCATCTCGTGCGTACCAAAAGCCGAGGCCCAATTTAACAAAGTCTGACCCACATCGTCCATAAAATTCACCTCCACTCCTCCGTTCTCGATGGCTTCGATCAGAGCGTCAGTGTCTTTCGATCTTATGCAGTCTATTAGCTGTCTATGGGATTTTTCGGCGGCGGAATCCATTCGACGCATGCGCGGCATCAGCTGTCCGGACGAGGACGATCCTGATTTTCCCAAAGCTCTCCTGCCCTCGAAAAGGAGGACCAAGAGCAAGTCTACCAGTCTCATGGAGTCTAAGATACAGCGTTCGTCTCCTTTTAGAGATTTTTCGATGGCGTCTAGTAGTTCAGATCGAAGCAAATCCTGGAATTGAATTTAAAGAATTGTCATTGCATTGGAAGCGATAAAATAAAGACTGTTTTCGTTAAATTACGTCCGTAGTGAACTATTTTCAACAATTTTGTTGCAATTATTCAAAATTGGTGGTTTCCACCTCAATTGGACTGAGGCAATACGGGCAAACTCGTAGCATAAAAGAAACGATTTCAGTTTGAACGGACGATCAAAAGATGATGAGAAGTTTGAAATGTTTTGTGGCATTGCAGGGTTTAAAATTGTTAAAATTAATTTATGTCAAAATATTTGAACTTGCAAAAATATTTGGGCCCTTTACCCCTAATGCCTGTACATATAAAACTAATAGGTCCTTTTACCTCTTAAGAATGCACATATAAAAATATTTGGGTAATCTACCTCTTAGCTTGCGTGTGAAAAAATATTTGGTCCCTTTATCAATTATGTCTGCCTATTTAAAACTAATATTTGGGTCCTTTACCTATCTAATCCTAATATCAAACTACTCAGGTACGAGTTCCACTCTGGAACAATTATTTTCACTTATTACTTTTAGTTACAATAATTATTCACTCAAATAAAATACTTCAATATACATTTAAAAAACTTTAAATCATTTGTATTTTGGAATTACAGAAATATAGAAAGACAAATGGATGATATCTAGTGATATTTATAACACCTAAAGTTAAACCAAAAGTTCTGAATGAAAGGGTAATCAGAAGAAATTATCACAGAAAATCAAAAACTGAAAGTCAACCGGCGCATTCGTTCTACAGTTATCGTGGCGGCGCACATACGCACAGGCGATCAAACGAATTTTTTTTTAAGTTTTCGAAAATAGTGAAGGTGTTTAAAAGTGGGGGTGAGATTTTTTTATGGACATGAATGCAATACTGAGGACCGATAGATAGGGGAGCCTCAGTAATAAGCTTATTTATTATCAGGCCAGTAGTTTAATAACAGTAGATGTGCAAAGTTATCACGTAGTGGCAGATTGTATTGAAAAGAAGAAAATGCCAAAAAAGTAAATAGTTTTTTAATCCAGTTAAATTAAGAAATGATCTCTTTCATTTTGACATCTAAACAAAACTGTTAAAATAGAATTTATAACAAAAAAATTGAACTTACATAGGTTATTGATGGCGAACCTCTGCAGAGGGTAGATAACAAACTTATTATAGTGGATATTGAAGCTGCATTGGCTTTCGAATCAGGCGTAGCTGTTGTTGGATTGCTAGTAGATGGCGCTTTGCCAGGCGTCGTTTGAGTACCGCTCGCTGTCGATGGTCCGGCGGCGTTTGAAAGTCTGCTTAGTAGTTCATTGACAAGACCTATTATAAATTATGTATGTATAAATAATAATTTTGCACAATACTGTTTCTACGCCAACATATATAAAAATGTGTTATTTTTGTATAATTCATTAAATTAAATAGTTTACCATGCTGTGCCAAGGGTGCGGGATCGACACCGCGTCTAGTAAACCTATCGGCTACCGAAGCGAAGCATCTCAATGCTCCATCAGCGACGTGTGCGTCTTCGTGATGTAGCAGCGTACTAAGGGCGGAGACGCAAGTGGGTAGTTGAGCGTCGGCTGGCTCCATCTTTGTGCAGAGTCTTGAAACGACGGCCATGGCCGAATGGAGCGTGTCCTTGTGGACGCGCTGTCCGTTGTCGCGAATGAAGGGCAGTATGCAGCTTAGGCCTCCTGCGTCGAATACTGCTCCGGCTTCTCTGGTGCATATTAACTCTAATACCTGTAGAAAACAATTGAAATGTTCATTCAATGTTGTAAACTGTTAACTTCAATTGCAATGAAAACGGTAAATTATCTAGATCCAAAATTCTATAACACTCTACCTCTTAATATTAAATTGTTAAACAAATATAAAAAAATTCAGCAAAGTATAATTTTCCAAAATAAAAAATCTCAACAGAACGAATTTAGAAATTAATAACTATCTGTTCTTCTTCCTGCACAGAATGTCCACGTTCTATTTTTATATACAGATACGGAAAGTTGAACGCGTATCTTCTATTTTACAATGAGAATTAAACAAACTAATAGAAATATGCATGAAACCAACAAAGACTACTGACAAGAGAGGAACGTTGCAGAATACGTATGTCTCCCGTTATACCCACATTAGCTCGTCTCTTGTCCCAAATGTCGTATGCGCGATTTTCAGTTCAATCAGAGCCATTAACCACGTAATACTTAGTACCTACTAAATCCATAACGATTAAAAATAAAATAGATTCCTGCAATTAATAATGAATTATAACAAAGAAGAACAAATACAGATTTCAAAATGGTATTTTGGAGGTCACTCGATAAAAGATAATAAACTTGTTTATTGCTGTATTTGTAAACGGGCCCATCCCTTTACATATTGATGGATTATTGTTTGGATTATTCTAAAGTTTGAGAAATGTGGATATGTACAAAAGTGTCAAAAATGTAGTAATGTCAATGAATAACTACGCGTAAAACCAGTTAATGTGGAGCATAAAAAAAGGAAATAAATGTATTGTCGAAACATGCGAACCTTGTTATAGCACTAAAATTATAGAACAAGTAAACATAAATTAAAAAACTGTTCGGAATATTTTAAAAAGAAATGGTTACAGTTGTTGTAAACTCCGAACAACTCAAGATCTTTTTCCAGAGGATAATATTCAACGAATGGAATTTTGCAAGACAATAATGCAGAAGTGCAATGAAAATCTAGAGTTTTTAACACATTTTATTTGCAGATGAATCGACGATTTCATTGCATTGAAAACACAATCCATCTGTTTAAACCTGAGTATTCCTGTGTACGTCCACAAAAATTAAATTCTTGGACGGGAATTTTTGACGACCCTGTAAAAAGTCCCTTTTTAGGGTTACCCGAAGGGTAACCAACGGGATTCTGTTATCAAGCCTCGGCTGTCCGTCTGTCTGTCAGCGGGTTGTATATCATGATCACTAGGTAGACAGTTACAATTTTCACAAAATGTGTATTTCTGTTGCCGCCATGACAACAAATAATAAAAAAAAAATAGAATTTAAAGGGGGCTCCCCTAATATAAACTTGTTTTTTTTTGCTCGATCATAATAAAGTATTTAAAAAGTACCTACATAGTATTAAATCTTGTACGACGGTGCGGAACCCTTCATGCGCGTGTCCGGCTCGCACTTGGCCCGTTTTATTTATTGACTTTAACCTAAACGGTGCCAAATATTTAGTTTATTTCAAGAAAAGATTGTTCCGGCACGTTCGGCAACTGCCTATTCATTTTGGAGAAGTTTGGTTTCAACCAGATGGTTCTCAAAGTCACAATTCACGAACGGTGACAGAATTCCTCGAAGCTATGTTTAGAAACCATTTTATTTATCACTTGATTTTTGTTGTGGGAGCTTCTGAAAGATACCGTGTATCTACACGTTTTTAAAAGGGTAACAAATCTCAATGGATTAAAGCAGAAAATTATCCAAACATTACGCCAGATCAACTCAGAGATAGGAGATTATCTTTGTATGATAGATTTGGCTATTGTTTGGCACAGCAAGGAGGTTTATTTGAACCACTACTTATTAGATTTGTTTTTAGAGTGTATTTGTTTATTTTTTATTTGTATTCTTTAGAATTATTTTTATATTTGCTGCACTAAGGGCCATTTTTTCACTTCTAAGTAAAGTTGAAAGTAACTACTTGCTAATTAGACTGTAGATTTGGCAGGTTAGAGAATTATAGCCTACATTCTAATCACCAAGAAATTACTTTCAAATTTACTCAGAGGCGAAAAGACTGGCCCTTATTAAAACAAGTAATTTTTGTAATTTAACGGAATGTCGTAAAATTATCTCATTTTAGAACAGTTAGAAATACATCCTAACGATAACAATTTGATACTAAAATCAAATTTCAGTTCGAAGCGAGCGGATACGATTCCGCCCACTATTGTTAAAGTATGTAATAAGGCGGTCCTCGGTGATCAGCAGTCTTTGTTTGATACACATATGTCTCTATTATACCTTGTCTAATTCGTTGTAAAGCGAGGGTCCGTGTTTTAACTTTCCGTATTAGTATACATTTTTTCTCTAATATACAGGGTGGTCACCGGTAACGCCTCAGTCTGTAGAGCCAAAACTATTTGATTTTTTAAATCTGTTTTTGCAGCGAGATGTGTATAAATCAGAAAAGGCAACAATTTAAGAATACTGTCAATTATACAGAGTTCTCAAAGAAAGTGATATATATGAAAGTTAGTGTTTTTACCATATATTTTATATTTGAATTGCCATCGCTTTTCCCAGTTTTATATGAAAATCGTATTGATGACCTGTATACAAATCTGTACAGGGTGAGTCAAAACCCAAATACATATTTTTCTTATTTTTTTTTTTTAAACTGACCACCCTGTATTTTATATAATTATTTAAAAGTACCTTAATTAAGGTTTGATTTGAGTTAAGCATTCCCTATACCCGAAGTTAATAATTTTGGGAGATTTTTAAATTCTAATAAGAAAAAAGTTAATTCACAAAATACTTTTAATTTTAACTAGTAACTGGTTACTAAGAAATAGATTGTTTGTTAATTGGTGATTAGAATTTAACCAGCTCTAATTTATTAACGACTGAATAAGATTTCGACAATACCTAATGCGACGTTACATTCAGTAAAAAATAAAAATAGTAACCGAAAACTACACATAATACATACTTTATTCTAAGTTTAAGTGTAATTTTGACAGATTTTATTTAATTATAAAAAATTGCATTTGTAAGTATTTTCTGAGTAACATTCGAAATACTTCTGTTATTCACGACTAAAGGTCACATTAAAAAACTGGCTAGACTTTTTTAAAAACAAATATCGCAACACTAATGACATCAGTAATAACAAATTGTGAGTATTGGGGTTTCAAAGTCAACTTTTTATGGGGAATGCTCGACTCAAAATAACTTTAATTAAGATACATTTAAATAGTGATATAAGGTGAATATTTGAGTTTTGACTCAGCCTGTACATATTTGTTTCGAATAGAAAAAAGTAGTGCATCGGCATAAAATGTTGACTACAATCGAAAAACGTTACGGCCAATGGCGGCTTTTGAATAAGTGCAGTAGAGATGAAGAACTGCCAAATAAATGCAAGTATTTCATCTACATTTTACAGAAAATATTTAAGACATTCTAAAATATACGTAAAATAGATTTTATGGATAATCTCATAATTTTAATTTAATAATGACATAGTAAATGGTGTGGGTGCACTGCACCGCTTGGGCCGCCCGTGCTCTTCTTCTCCTTTAGTTTTTCTAGTAGTCTTGATAGGCATATGGTTGTCAAAAAATAATAATTAACAACTTTGCGAACACTGAAACTTTCTTGGCAACAGTATTTTGATCAAAAATTAAAAAAGGTGTATTGAACAATTCTACTTTAAAAATTTTAAAACACATTTTTTTTATTTTTGATCAAAATATTATTGACAAGAAAGTTTCGCTGTTCGCAAACTTGTTAATTAATCTTTTTTGACAGGCATATGCCTATCAAGACTACTAAAACAAGTAAAGACGAAGAGCACAAGCGACCCAAGCGGTGCAGTGCACACACGCCATTTACTATTTCATGATTAAAATTAAATTAAAATTATGAGATTATCCATAAAATCTATTTTATGTATATTTTAGAATGTCTTAAATAATTTCTGTGAAATGTAGACGAGATACTTGCATTCTTTTGGCAGTCTGTAGCTCTACTGTTTACTTATTGTTATAATAAGAAAAGTGAGGGCAATTCAAATAGAAAATAAAATATAGGGTGCCGTATTTAAAAACATAACTTTGATATATATCATTTTCTTGGAGAACCCTGTATAATTCAAATTATTTTTAAATTGTTGCCTTTTCTATGGTACATCTCGCTGTGAAAACATATTAAAAAAATCAAATAGTTTTTGGCTCTACAGACGTGAAGTTACCGGTGGCCCACCCTGTATAAATATATAATTGCTTTAAAATAAAATTAATTTTCCAAAATCGACTGAATCTAACGAACTTTTCAAGAATAGTTAATAGTTTTTTTGCAAACTTGCATTTTTTGTTTCTGAAGAGGGGGTTTTTGTCATGGCCTTTTGAATATTTAATCCATATTTGCATCGCGTAGTACAATTTTTTTCATTTTTTCAGGCATTCTTCTGCTTTCCCCACGAAGAATATAGGCTCTCCCAAGGAAGCTTGGGTTCCAGCCTCCCCTCCTCTGGGATTAAACCACGACGGTACTGCGGTCCCATGTGTTTATTGTACTCTTTCACTTACATTCAATTGTCTAGATGGACCCTGAGCTCTATGAGCTAGGTCACCCATCCAAACACTAAACAAGTTCACGCCGTTTAACAGTGATTGAAGTCTGAATACCTTTCAGTCAGACAGCTGTTCGTAGTATTAATTAGTAACTTAATTAAATTAAATAAAAATGATTTTTTTTCTTTATCAATATTACACCTTTCGGGAAAACGAGTTCTTTTCTTATTGTTATTATAAGTTACTTTCCCAGCATTAAACCAATTATCATTATAAAATTCAAAGAAAAAATAAATAAATCAAAATATCGTCATTATTATTAATTGCAATTTGTCGAGTACATTAATTCCATTAATTAATATTTAATGGTCACCAGAAGGCAGACAAATATAATTATTCAAAAAATTATGTATTAGAATGTATCATTAAACGGTAAAACTACGTATTGAGTAAACATGAAAAATAAAACCACCAGTTATACACGGCTGCCTACGAGTCTGTCTCTGGAGGGTGAAACAAGAAATTATATACCGTTTTTTGAAAACCTGAAAAAATTAGTTTCGCCCCTAGAAACCGATGCCTTATTTGTGTGGCTCAGTCTGTATGAGAAAAATAGATCTAATAATTCCATTTCTTCGACAATCATTGCAAACTTAAATTAATTTTATGGCCACCTACACCTCATCGCCGACACACCCTATATGATCTCATATTAATCCTAAGATGCCAAGATTATGCCGTGGGAACTGTGACTCAATGAATCAAAATGTTTTTCCTACAATGTTAATTCAACAGATATTAACAAAAATGCTTTATAAAGTGTTTCACTGGGTAATATAATTTCTTCACTCGTTAAGGAGCAATTATGCCGTGTGCTATTTTCTGTTTTTTGTACAATGGAATCATTTGGAGAACAATGAATGATGCTACCAGTTATTATCAATTGCTTACGGTTAATACAATAAATAAAGAAAAAACAGATGAAACTGGGAGTGTTATAATAAAAAATTATTATTTTAAGAATGATTGACTATGAGCAAAGTAAATAAAAGAACTAGGATGAAGATATATAATCAGTGTTGCCAGATGAAAATTTTCTGGAACAGTAGATGGGTGGGAAAAAACATCAAAACTGAACAGTAGATTTTAATACAGGAGGAAATAATTATAATTTGCATTATAAAAAATAAAAAAAATTATGTAAGAAACTAAAAATAAACATATTTGGCTTTTATACCCAAATTAAAAATTATACAAAACAAAAAAATAAAATTTGTAAAACTTAATGTTGGGAGACAAAAAAAAATAAATGAAAAATAATAGGTACCTATTTCTTTCAGATCAGTCTGAATCAGATAATTCAAATATGTTGTGTTTGTCATGCATATTATTATGATGCCCTATTAATTTTTTGTTGCATTTTAAATCAAAACATGGTGATTCTCTGGAAGTTACAATATTTTTTGTGTGGTGCAAACCTACACTGGCTGTATTCAACTTATTACGCTGATTTAACTTCAGCAAATTTACTTGGGAAAATATCCTTTGTACATTTGCTGAAGAACGAGACAAACAATAAATTAAGAACAAAATTTTCATGCCTAAAACAGTAGAACAGAGACAAACACAGTAGATCTACTGTTAAAACAGTAGGTCTGGCAGGCAACACTGTATAAAATGCTTAGCATCAGTGGCGTAGCCATGGGAGGGGTTTCTGAGAACTATGGGGGGGGGGGGGGGGGGTTCGTTCCATCAAGAAAGTAAATAAAAACAAACAGTCAATAGAGATCGGCGCCAATACTATAGCAGAAATAGAGGAATCCTGACACCCCCCCCCCCCCAGCGGTGGCTACGTCACTTCTTAGCATTGTATATATTACACTCTTCACACAGTTTAACAGACTTTTAATCAGAATAGACTTCATCCCCTTATAGAGCTTGATCCTACCTAAAGATTTCAAGCTGATAGTGTTTTGTTTGAAAAAATTTTTTTTTATTTCAACCCCCCTTGACCATCCCATTTTTATTCAGATTTTTCTTCAGAATCAATAAGCCTTCCTTAAGAGTTTAATTTTTACTAAAAAATTCAAGTCGATATCCTTTTGTTTTAGATTTAAAGTTTTTTTTTTATAATTTCAACACCCCTTGAATTTCCATTTTTATACATAAAGCTTGATTATTCCTAAACATTGTTTACATCATTTTTAGTTTTTGACTTCTCGTGCGGACAGAAAAACGTGACATCGGACGGACATTTATTAAAGTCATTTAAAATTTAATGAGGATTTTGTTACAAAAAATTTTAATTTAGATAGACATTAAAAAATGTTTTTTCGAAAGTAAACCTATAATACTCTTCATAGACTACTGTTTTTAATGGGGGCACAGACTAAAAACTGTTAATAAATTATTTAATTTCATGTATTTTTTTATGTATACAATAAATTTGATTATGATTTTTAAGATCATATTTTCCAAATTAACCTATTCACTATGGAAAACCTTGTATGCATCAAATTTCAAACTCATTTATTTAAGTTTGCCCGTTTTTGACTTACCTTGACACATTGTTCTGCCAAATCCTTGCTAGTTCTAGATGATAATTCTGCTACGACTAATCTGTTACAAATGGCTTTGACAGCTCCCTCTATGGCTACAATTCTCCTGGTGCACTCCGCTGATACGTCCAAATAGTAGGTGATGGCTCGCGCTGTTACTTCCAGCACATTCTCGGGAGCCTATTACGAAAAACAAATATATAACAATCGCGAAATACGAAACAACACGACTTGAAGAACTATTTCAAAAACACAGAATCTTTTAATGATAAAATTTTGGTTAACGGACAAATTAACGTTGACGTTCTTTTTCGTATTGGAATAGAGGACCAAACTGTAAATTTTAGCATTATTTTTGTTTTCTGAGCTCTTTTGCTGTTTGCTTGGTTTTCTAATTTGCTTAGTTCGAAATATTGCGGGACATCTGCTTGTCAATAATGTTCAATGCAGGTATTTACAAAAATATAATTTGATTACTTCTATTCTTGAATACCAATACATATTTTAAAACTATTTACTTACTTAGTCTCAGTAATTTTACTATTAGTTGTAAAGGTATTATTATAGTTATCAGCTTTTTATTATATTGTTCCAACTTATTCACGCTGTCCGTAAGATATTATAACTTCTTCTTCTGCTACTTTTCATTATCTTGTTCAACAGTATCTTTGATAATGTTACTTCAATAATGAAAATGTATTTCTGTTGGTGTTCCTTCCTCTTGTATTTTCTGTTATTAATACCTTTCCATTTGTTAGTTTATTCTCATATCTTTAGATATATCTCAGTGAGGGGTAACAGGCGAAGTTTCACCACCAGATGGCGCTACCGAAACGTGAGGTCCGTATTAAACGTTACTTTCATGTGGATGGTGTTTTTTTTAATTTTATTGTGTTTTATATACATATTTGAGAAAATGATTAAAATAGATAAATACGGATCAATTAAAGAACCTAAAAAGAAGCGGTGGTAAAAAGAGGGGAACTATAGAAAAACTAATTTAAAGGCGAGGAGTAAGTGATTTATTTGTGTTAAAGTCCGTCTTATTTTAATAATTTCAGACACAGATCTGTAATAAGATATATTGATATCGTGTTGGAAGTCCAGTGAAATAGGTAGATTTGACCACATTATGGTGGGCACTTTTGAAAGAGATAAATTATTTGAAAGTAAACATTTTGAAGGACTAAAATTACTATTAAACTTGTAATAAATCTTTTGTACATTTATGAATTTACATGGTGACCGAAAATGATTTTAATTAATTTGAAAATCGTGATTAAACAAGGGCTTATGTGGCAGATATCGGTATCCAGATAAGGCAACTTTTGTTCTCGTCAGAGGGGCATCACTGCACAATCTTAGATACAGTATATTTTTCGAATAAAAATTTATTTAATAAAATTATTAACATTTTAAAATTAGAAAGTTTTTGACAGACCATTCAATAGACCTGTTACAGGAACGCCATCTGGTGAATATTAAAATATTACCACTCATTGCATGTACGTTTCTTCTTATATTTCCTCGCGCATCCAGATTTAGATATTTTTTAATTAGTCTTACGAATAGGCTAATTATATCGTCTATTTTTATCCAATTAATGATTTATAAAGAGTGATTTAATTTTTTTTTTCTAAAGTGGGCCATGATTGACATATATAGAGACACGAATCACGTCCATGATAACTACGGACGGCTCTGAATTAAACCCAAACTGACACTTAGCTTCAAAATACATTTTTTATGGATCAGTCCATATTATAAAAAACGCATTGCTTGTGACCGGTTCCTAGAGAAACATGTAAAATTGTTGTCGCTGATGAAAAGACTTGCCTGTTCGTCCAGAAAGATGCGACAGAGGGCGGGCAGGAAGGTCCTGGGTGGGCAGCTCTCGAAGCACCTATCGACGTTGTCGGACATTAGGAGTAGCATGCAGAGTTGCTCAAGGGCGATGAGCTGCATATCTCGCTCATCGCCCAAGCCACTATTCAGCCATTCCAACAGGGTTTCCGGATCTGGATCAGCCATCTGAAACGAATTTATATTCATTTTTTAAAATATAGTTTTATCGATCTCACTTAAGAGTTGATTAATTTTATTTGGAAAGGAAAAGAAAAACACCAAAATCTTAGTAATATTTTTTTTAATAAACATGGATGAAGCGACAAATTTCGATCTATGACCATCATCAGGTCTGCAAGAAAAGGTATTTTAAATAAAACGTCAAAGGGTAAAGTCCCGGAAGTTCTTATTAATTTATGAAATCGGAATTCCTTTGTACAGATTATCTTTATCAAATTTAACCTTCGAAAATCGATTAAAAACTATGTTTAGATGTCAATTCTAAAAAAAAGAATCGATTTGCAAGCATTCACGGTGTTATCCAAGTAGTCGACAAATTGTTATGAGATAATATGGAAGAGTCTTGTTACAAGGATCGTTTAAGGATATAATTCAGAACTGACTTAACATAAGGCTCTAAAATGCACAAAAGGCTTTCAAAATTACATTAAGAGAGTATATTTGCATTCTTAGTGGCAGCTTATCATAGTTGAAGGCGATTTTCAGGAATAGTACGCAATTTATTTGACAGTGTGACATCAGTACAAAGGAAGTGCCATTAATTCATAAATCGCGTATTCGCATCTCAGATAAACAAGCTCGCACAAACCATCCCCTCACAATTTAGCAGCTATCTCGCTAGTTCTAATGCGGCAGCTCTGTCTGCCTTATATAAAACAATCTGAATGCTTGCAATTTATGAATAAATGGATTAGTCTACTAGTTTCTCGTCGTTGATTAAAACTTGGCTGCTTCGGCACATAGAATTGCACATATCCCATATTTAAATTTGCTTCTTAAATTGGTATTCTTTGCTCAGGCAGTTGAAACTGTTACTCCTTTAACCTCACATCACAAACTTACAATAATATAATCTTGAACTGAAGTTAGAAATGGGAGTGAAAATAGTAAAAGGTCCACCTTCCAAACTCAAAGTATGTTTAAACATTCGAATGTTACTCAAATCGAACCTCTCTGCATTATTGTGACGTCATGAGCTAAACAGAAACAAACCATTCTGTTCTTGTTGACTTTGACATAAGTATTTAGTTTTTCAATATAAATAAATATATTGTTTGAAGGTCGTAAAATGGTAGTAACTAAATTATCAGTTGTACGCTTTTAGATGAATAAAATCTTGAAAATAATTTAAATTGACACATTACCACTGTTTTTATTATTTATTATTTAAAGATATGATTATGAAACGACAATGTTATTTTCACTTTAGAAGAATACTTTTAAATGAAATAATAGTTCAAAAACTATATTTCGTCTATAAACAATTTTGTTCGGCCCATTTTTTACGTCATACCACAAGACTTTATAAAGCTGTATTTACACCATGTTAGATTATTCACGGTTTTAACACTTTATTTGATAAATATGTTCTGTTATGAACTGAAAAACATATTAAGAACTTATCTATGAATTCATGTTTATTTTCAAATATCATCTGTTGGGCAATAAATGCTATTTATTATTGAATTTTTGGCAAAAACTTTGAGACACCTAGTGTCTAATAGGTATAAACATAAAATTAGCTAATATAATAAAACAAATACAAATTAATTTCCAATTCCTAACCTTACAAAAATTGCCAACTCAATGTGTTTCTAAAAGTTATATTTTCAATCTAAAAATAGTAGTAAAGCCGCACAATCTCTCTTATTTTTCGACACGCAGGTTTTTCCAATGATTAAATCTTTTGACTTACGTTAATAAGGAATTCTTCGCATGTAAGCAGGGTGCGATTATGATTTCTATAAATATGCGTGCAACACATTTTTTTGCTGATACTACACTGTGCTCTTCGTTTGCTACTACTATGAATGAACTATGAGATGCATATTACCTACATTTCTCGAACGGGCACGATATGATGTAATATATAAAAAGAAAGAACTGCAAAATCAGCAAACTTCCGTAGATTAGTGATTAGTGCATAAAAAAAATATTGCATTCAAATTATCTCGAAAGCTTCGCGTCACAATATGATGTGTTTTCATCCTTTTATCAAACTTTTTTGTCGTAGCTTACGGCCAAAGATTTAAAAAAATAGTTTTTCATACATTCTAATAAATTATTATCAATCTTGTTATATATCAAAAATTACGAATAATAATGAATGTATGTACCAAGTGGCCAAAATTTAACAATAAAGCAGCCATGAAAAATCTAGTTTCTAAGACGGCCGTCAGAGGCGTAACAACCATTGCCAGTTATGATTTTTCCATAATTTGACTAAAGAACATTTAATAAACGTACCCGAACCCAAATCTATTAGAGTGGGAGTGAAGTTGGCACATACTTTGATGATTTTCTCTTACTATACGGAAAATGGTCGCACTGCGCAGCTTTCTGAGTGCCTTTTAAAAGGAGATAGAAAACTCCGCCATTTTGACCCCTTATTACGTGTTGCCTACATCTTGGAGCAATATTTTTAATAGGTGCGTTTTAATCATCCGCTTCTGCTTCGGAATTGTCGGTTTTCTTGTTTTAATCTGACAGTTTAAAACGACTAAACCGACAATTCCGGAAGCAGGAGCGGATGATTAAAACGCACCTGATATTTTGCTTGCTGCTGTCAGTGTCAGTGAACATTATTTTTGGAGTCACAGTATATTGCTAAAGAATCAGTTAACTCACTCGGACCAGTTGAAAGTTCCAAAATAACATCCACTCCAGGGATACAAATTCAGGATGCGCAGAAGACTGCTGTTTTATTATAGGCGGTTGTCATATATTGTATTATCCGAGTTGCGCAGTGTATAAACTGGAATATTGAGTTCAAAAGTGCCGACGCAGAGTGAGCAAACTGATTCTTTAGCTATAAACTGTGGCAAAGGCATCAAAATGGTGGCGCCCCATGTTGGGCGTGTCGGACCTCTCTCTTGCACCGTATAGTAATCAAAGTAAGTGGAAGTTGGAGAGTCGACGTAAAGCAGGGACAGAAGTTGGAAAGGCTCTCCCACTTCATACCACTGAACTATATATTAAACTGGAAGAACAAAGCCGATCAACAAAATCAAGCCGCATAGCGAGGTGATATTTGACACTTTGGCGCCCACATGTGCGTATCGAAATGCACTAAAAAGGATCATTAAAATTAAATTTAACATTTATTACATTCAACTATGACACCTTTTATTTTAAGAAAATCTCTTAAAAATGATTTTTGATTAATACGCAGTTGAAACAAATGTTCCGAAAATAATAATAATAATTATTATTATTAAAATAGCACGCTATTAATAAAAAATAATATAATTTGTCGTAGTACGCCCGTGGGAAACGTGACGTAGAATGGTCGAAATTGACAGTCTGGCGTCGAAATTGTCATGCGCACCGAGCGTTTTTTCACCCATGTCGGCTTAGAAATTAGGAGTAGGGTTTATGTCATATAGCCATGCACTGCCATGTAGTTTAATATCAAGGTCGGTGCTTCATACACATGATTTGACAATTTTGCCGCGGAGCTAACCGAAGTGAACACGAAACATTGGCGTAGAAAATTATTTTAAATTTTGTAGAATTATGATTTGGAATATTATTACTTGTTTAAATAATAAATAGATACGTTTGCCCGATTCCGCGGGTAATAATTTAAAATGTTTAGTATTATTTTTATTCTACGATACGACGCGACATTGCCGAAAAAACGTCACCGCCAAATTCTCGAAGTCACCCGAGGTTTAACATTTACTATCTCTCTATCTAACAAAAGCCTTTCCAACTTATGTCCTGCTATACCTTGTGTTTTCAGGAAAAATTCATTTGAAAAACATTCATAAGTGGAAGGAAGGAAATATAAAGAATGCCGTAGAAGCAGTTACGAACACATAAAATGGACTATTTAAGATCTGTCAAACACTTCAAAGTACTCCGTGCTTTACTATTTAGATATTACAATTAATATATCAATGATATTAAGAAGAAAATCTTAGGAAGAAAGCCCATTTTATGCAAAGAGTTACAAGCTAAACTTTTGGACTAAATTCTTAAGATGGAATAATCTTTTTTGGATTAACTAGGAGAGCTTGCATTTCAGCTTGCAAGACGTAATATTTTTAACGAGTTTTCATTGCTTCAGAAATCTGCTAAAAAAAAAAATGGCTAGAGGGATTTCCGAAAAGACGACGATAAAATTAGCATCAGAAGACCAACTGGAACATCTGTTGCAAGAGCAAGGGCTGCTGGATTAAATAAATAAAGCATGAATTAATAATATTTAATAATAATATTAGTTATAATAAATGTTCCATCAATGATTATATTTCCACTCAAGAATTGCAATGAACGACTAAAAAAGATGCGCCACTTGGAACTTTATTTAAATTTCATCTATCAGGGTGGATTAAAATGGTTCGAATACTTTGATCTGAAACCAACTCTGTTATTCTACTTTTAGACGGACACAATAACACACATACAAGGAACCTTAAAGGCAAAAGAAAATGTAACAATTCTTTCCATGCTGTCACACACTTCGTATAAAATGCAACCTCTGGACAAAATAGTCATGGGAGCGTTAAAAACATTTTATAACTAAGAAATAAGGAATTTTAAAAGGAGAGGATTTTCTAGCAATTGACCAAGAAGAGGTTTTGTAATGTTGCTCCAACAGCCAATAATACACCACTACAACCAATAACAGCGGAAAAAGAATAGTAAAATCGAATAACAAGTGTGTCATTAGCTGTTAGTCCAAAAGATATTGCACCAATATCCAATGTAAAGGGAAAAGTGGGTATTCGAGAAAGAAAAGCAGGAAAAGACGATAATAACTTCCGACACCAAATACGGAAGACCTTGAGCAATATATACAAATATGCAAAATTACCGACTCAAAAAAGACATTGTTAAAAAAAGTGTTTTCCGAAAATCCAGGTTGCTACGAAGAAAACACTAAGTGAACGTTCAGTGTATTTTTTGTGAAGATAAGTTTTCTGACAATAATCGCGGAT